CATGTTACAGTCATGTCAGTCTTTTTCCCCTAAAAAGCCATGTGGATCGGGTCTACCAGCTTGAATAGAGCAGTACTGAAAGTAACTAAGCAAAATGCCTTTCCACAGATGGAGATGTTAGTGCAGGTCACTGGCTCCAATATGCACAGACCCCTTCGCCCTTAATAACTTAATCCCAGTTGTATTTGAAGTGTCCGGGAGCCCAGCTAAAAGACTGTAGCTCCCAGCTTCTCCGGTGACTCTGGCCAGAGTTTTACTAAATTCCAGTGAATGACACACACGTTGGTCTTTCTAGCATCTCTTCTTAAATGGGAAGGAAGGGTCAGGCCCTTTTCCCCCTCGTGAACAGCAATTAAAAAAAAATGGACTATGTGGGAAGTAAAATGCTCCTGAACCATGAAAAGAGGGATTTTCAAAAGTCAGTTGTTTAAACAAACTTTTGACTTAAGCATCACCATGACCCAGCAAGCCATGTGCACTCCCTTTAGAGGATTAAATTAATGGTCCCTATATCATTTACACTACTAGGGGGAAAGTCATCCGTTAGACTAATTGTAAGTTTTTCGCTCAACAGTCACTCACAAATGTTTATGGTCACTGAAGATTTCCCATGCACTCTTCTATGCTCTCTGAAAAACAGCTCAAAATCCCCGTGCTATAAGGTACATTTTTATTGGAAAATGTAATGCAATACTCCAAACAGAAGAGTTTATCTACTTTCACTCGGATAAAGGCATCTGTATTAGACAGGGTTCTCCAGAGAAACAGGACCACCAGGATATATACACACAGAGAGAGATTTATTTCAAGGAATTGGCTCGCACAATTGTGGATGCTTAGCAAGTTCAAATCTGTGGCAGGCCGGCAGCTAGAGACCCAGGTAAGAGTGGCCGTTTAAATCCAAAGGCAACCCACTGGCAGACTCCCGCTTCTCCCAGGAAAGTCGGTATTGGGGTTTGGGGTAGGTTTTTTTTAAAGTCATTTAACTGATTGGATGAGACCCACCCACATTATGGAGGGTAATCTGCTTTACTCAAAGTCTACTGATTTAAATGTTAACTCTTAAAGCAAACAAATAAATAACCTTCACGGAAACGTCTAGAATAATGTTTAACCAAATAGCTGGGTACCATGGCCTAGTCACGCTAACACATAAAACTATTCATCACGGTGTCTTAGTTTTATGTGCAAACCTTAATTACTTGCAAAAATAACCAGAGTTTGTGTGAATCGGTCATAGAGGATGTGTGGGAAGAGAGCTCTGGAGGTGTGTGCTTGCCTTCGGTTGAGAAACCGAACTTCAACTCACCCTGCCCTGCAAAATATTCTCCAATTGTTTGGGATTGTTACCCGTTGCGCCTAGGGTTGAGCCAAGTACACATCTAGTCTCCACAGCATTTGGAACAAGGCAAGAGGGTAGAGACACCCCCAAATCCTCCCACATGTAAACAGTCTGACCCTATATTCACACAGCATCATGAGCAACTGAGGAACCCTGTGAGCCTCCAGGGCCAGAAACTGTGCAGGCCCACCTGGGGAGGATACCATTGTGTCCCTCACACTGCAGAGCCATCCATCAACACAGGAAAGTTCTAGTACCATGTACTTACAGGAAATCGTATCCTCTGCCTGTGTCTATCAGAGCCATCCAGTTGAGTGGCTGATAGTCTGTTTGTTACCAAACACAGAAGTAAATCCATTGCAGCGAAAATCACAGATCCAAAGTCCAGGTGCTCCCCAAAGCACACGGTACCCCTTGCACATAAAATATTCCATATGGGCTTAAAAACACTCCCCACATTGTGTCAAATACATACCACACAATTGGAAAACATTAATCAGTGCAATCTGTTGAACAGATGCAGAAAGCAGTAAACTGTCTTTTCAGTGTAATCTTCAAATCACTTAATTCTATAATGTTTCCCTCTCCCCATGAATGTAACAGCTATAAATATCCTGTTGGAACAAAATCACTTCAAATGTCTTGCTCAACAGTCCCCCATCATCCCTCAAAGTATCTGCATTTTTCTTAGTTGAGTAATAATTACCAGTTCCATGGAGCATCAAATTCAATTTCATTGGAGAAGGAAGGAGAGGAGGAGGAAGGAAGAAGAAGTTGGAAAAAAAGGAGGGAAAGAGTAGGAGAGGGGGGAGCAATGAGGAGAAGGAGACGGAGAAAGATGAGATGGAGGGAGAGGAGGGGAAGAGGAGAAGGAGCTAAAAGAAGAGGAAGAGAACACATTTTAGAACAGCTTCAACTTATCCATGAGCTTTAACTAAGCAAAAAAAACTATGTTCAGAATATAATGAAATTATAATACTTCTGACATACAAGGAAAACCAGGCTTTCTTTCAAGTGAAAGTAAAATATTAACAAGACAAAAGGAAAATGTTAGGAAGAATCCACCTCTGAGCAAAAACTATAGAACACTGGTTTCGAAATCCTACCTCCTGATTCTAGTCTAGCTTATCGCAATGTTTTGATACCATGATCTTTAAAATATTACTAGCAGTGCTGTGTGATAGACAGTCCTTATTAAGCAGGCCACGTATAATGGAAGAATGGAATCTAGGTGTGTCTGTGTTACTTAAGATGAAGTAAAATACCACTTGCAAAGCGATTTCACTTGATGAAGCCATATTTCGCTCGAGTTAAAATGTACAAGGCATCGTATGATCATGTTCAGTATGGGAAACAAGGGCGGGTGGCAAACCACATTGACTTAGAAAGCAGTTACCTCTTCACCTAAGCAAGATTTGAAATAAATAAACACGGATTGACAAGTCACGGAATTTCACAAATAAATAAATAACCTTCACGGAAATAACCTTCACAGTGAGAGCTACGAGGTACCTCGGTGACCAGCCTGGCTACCTGGCTTTACAGAGGCAGCAGCTTCAGTGCAGAGGGCTCAAGGGATTCAGCCAAAGGCAGACAGATGAGCAGCAGAGCGGGCATTCAACCCAGACACGAGGACTCAAGGACTCAAGTGCAAACCCTTGCCGGGGAGCCCCTCCAGGTGTTACTTTTCAGTGTGTGCTGCAGCCTGAATGTCTGTGTCCCTCCAGATTCTCATGGGGAAATCCTAATGCTCAATGTGATGTGTTAGGATGTGGGACCCGTGGACCGGGTGGGGCCCTCATGAATGGGATTCGTGCTTTTATAAAAGAGGCTCCAGACAGCTCCTTAGCACCTTCCACCAGGTGAGGACACAGTGAGGCGTCCCTGCTGGTTATAAGCTGCCCAGGATGTGGTTACCGTGTTACAGCATCCTGAACGGACAAAGACAGTGTGTGAAGTAACCCTGGCAATTTACAGAGTGTTTTTCATCTAGAGCAGCGGTTCTCAACCTGTGGTTCATGACCCCTTTGGGGGTCAAACGATTCTTTCACAGGGGTCGCCTAAGACCATCGGAAAACACATATATAATTACATATTGTTTTGTGATTAATCACTATGTTTTAATTATGTTCAATTTGTAACAATGAAAATACATCCTGCATATCAGATATTTACATTACAATTCATAACAGTAGCAAGATTACAGTTATGAAGTAGCAACGAAAATAATTTTATGGTTGGGGGTCACCACAACATGAGCAACTGTATTAAAGGGTCACAGCATTAGGAAGGTTGAGATCCACTGATCTAGAATATATAAAGAGCTCGTATGACTCAACTAGAGGCCCGGTGCACGAAATCGTGCACAGAGAGGGTCCCTAGGCCTGGCCGGCGATCAGGGCCTTCTGGATCTGGGGCCTCCCAGCTCTGGGGCCTCCCTTCCCTGGCTGCCAGCTGTGGGCAGGGGCATTACTTCATTCTGCACCATCCCATGGTGGTCAGTGCACATCATAGCAAGTGATCGGTCTCCCAGTCGAACTCCCACAGGGACAATTTGCATATTAGGCTTTTATATATAGAGATAGATAAGACATACAACGCAATTTTTTTAAATGAGCAAAAGATTTGAATTGAGATTTCACAAAATAAAATATATGAATGTCAAATAAGCCCTTGAAAAGATGCTCAACATCTAATGTACCTACTACACACCCACAAGAGAGGATTAAAATTATAAAGAACAACAATATGAACACTGACAATAATGTAGAACCTCTCAAACACTGCTACTGGGAGTGTGAAATCATACCATCATTTTGGAAAACAACTTGCCAGTTTGTTCTCAAGTTAACACATTGTTTGCGGGTAGTTTTTATCGCGCGCTAACAGGTGGTGCAGGCCATTTTTGCAGTTGAATAGATTGATTACCATTATACCTGGAAGTACATACATAATTCACCATTGTATGTGTTAGAGACCCAAATTTTGTCCTTTGGAATTCATATATCTGCATGTTAACATCCCTTTAGAGCAATAAAAAGGTATAAAAATAAACGTATTTATACATTACCCGCATTCTACCGCTAGTCTATAAAAAACGTATTAATACGTGTCCCGCGCTCTACTACCAGTCAACGTAAAACGTATAAATATGTTTCCCGCATACAATGTGTTAAATGTACACTTCCCAAAAGATCCAGCATTTTCACTCTTTGGTATTTACCCAGAAGAAATGAAAACATAAGTTCACACGAAGACTTGTCCACAAATGTTCATAACAGCTTCATTTGTAATACCAAAAATTGGGAGGACAATCTGTGGTCTAGCCATACAATGGGATTCTCTTTCAAATAAGGAGCAAATCACTGATATACACAGCCACATAATCAAATCTCAAAAGCATTATGCTGAATGAAATAAACAACAATTCACAAAATAGTACATAGCATCTGGTGCCACTTCTAATGTGTTTAGGAAAAAAGTAAATTTATCAGTAGTGGCAGAAGTCAGATGAATGGGTTCCCGAGATGGGGAGTGAGAGGAAATACTGTACAGGTGTACAAGAGAGCTTTCTGGAGTGATGGAAATGTTTGATATTTTGTTTGGGGTCTTGGTTACATGAATGTATCCTTTAATCAAGACTCATTGAACTATATACTTAAAATTAAGAACATTTTATTGTATGTAAGTTATATTTTAGTAAAGTTAATTTTTAAAAAAATATGTAGGAACTGAACTGGAAATCACTTAGACATGGTTTAAATTTAAATTTTGTCTCTGTAATCTGATTTATTCTAATATTTCGTTTCTTGAGTTTAATAGTAATACAAAATTTCATGTCAGTTTAGCCTATATGAAATGATTATAAATTTCAAAATTGAAGAATCAGTTCATTGAAGCTTTAAACTTTCAAAAGAATTCCAGAATTTACTTTATCCACATGAATGACTAAGTTGTTTCTAGGACGTACACTAATTCTTAAATATAAACTATACTGCATGACAAATATGCTCACCCATACTTAAATATAAATGTATTGGTAGTTTAATGATATAAATGCATCTAACCACACAAAATATTAGATCCAATTCTATAAATTAGCAACTAGCTAAGTGTCCCCCTTTTCTGCATAGAAAAAAAAAAATTCATTCATTGACCTTTAATCTCTTCCCAGAGACACATGAGAAGACAGACCAGGAAAAGCACATGATATGAGATAAGGAAATTTGCTTCAATTTCATCTTTAGACCCACTTACAGCATTGGCTATAGGGTATTTTCTTCCTCCTTCCAGCCATCTGGAGAAATGTTATAACCGAGAGTTATAAGGTTATATGACTGAAAGTGGATCTGAAAGAATTTTTTAAAATGCAGATAACCCAATTAATCTACTATTATTTATTATTGCAGAAATGGCTTTAGAGGTAGTTTATTAATGAGACAATTTTCAAATCATTCCATTCATCGTATCTATAATTTAAAACCATCATCATAAAAAATGAAAATAAAAAGTACTTTTTAGAATAACACATTGAAGTGGTCTTCAAAAAGCAGCATTTCTAGAGTTCTTTAGTTTAAGACAAAGACATCAGCTCACTTAGACACACATCGGCATTAATAAATACATTTCTGAGATAATCAAGTTATTATCACCTGCATGATCACTTCCAAATAAGGTGACGAGGGCGGTCTCAACATTAACACCAAGTGTCAAGGTCTGGACCACCCAAAGCGCTCCTAGGGGTGAACCAATGTACCATCTGAAGAGTAGGATACACACCGGGTGATGTTAAAGATTCACCTGTTTTTCCCCTTGGAACTAGTTCTAAAAAAAAAAAAAAAAAAATCTTCCACATGATCAAATAAAAACATATTTCTTCTTCATTTACTCTTCATTATTTTTAGCCTCCAAAGGCTTATATATCAATCCATCAAAAAAAAAAAGAATTGGCTCTGAACCAAACCAAAAAGAAAGAAAAAAAAATCCAAAGTGTGTTCTACGGTGCTCTGTGAATATTAGGGTGTGGCATCCACGTGAAAGTTGTCAAACTGTGCAAAATCAAAGGAGTGAGTTCCAATCGCAGCCCAGCCATTCTTGGGGAAATTCACTGGGACCTCTGACCACAGGAGCTTGCCATTCAACATGCCGGCCGAGAGATGACCCTGGGGGCAAGAAAGGCGACCCTTGAAGACATATGAAAATGATCGCCCGGAGTCCATTTCTTAATAACCTGTGGCCCACCCACTTAGCGGAGCAAACACCCTCCTCACTTAAGACTTCCTGCAGGAAAACAACTCCATGGGTTGGAACAAAAGTTTGAAATACAGGAACAATATTCTCTGAGGAAATTCTTATCTACCTATGTAATAGTTTTCAAGGCACAAGGAATATCACAATACTTCCTTGGACTCCACCAAAATGTAAAACCCATAGAAATGTGAAACTTTTCTTATAAAATTTTAGACAAGAGCCCACTGAAATAAAAGAAAAAACATTTGTTTTTTACAAGTGGTTGTATGTGCATGGGTCGTGGGCATACATGAGTAATGGAACCAAAATGTCCATATATGTAAGTCCTTTCTGTCCCAGTGTACAGAATATAACTTCAAAGTCATATGAAGAGCCCAACCTTAGTTAGAAAACTAGTCAACATCAGTGATGATTGCCAGGGGCAGTAAGACGGGAAGAAGCATAGAAATGACTTAGCAGCCCTAACTGGGTTGGCTCGGTGGATAGAGCGTCGGCCTGCGGACTGAAGGGTCCCAGGTTCGATTCCGGTCAAGGGCATGTACCTTGGTTGCGGGCACATCGCCAATAGGGAGTGTGCAGGAGGCAGCTGATCGGTGTTTCTCCCTCATCGATGTTATTAACTCTCTATCCCTCTCCCTTCCTCTCTGTAAAAAGTCAATAAAATATATTTAAAAAAAAAAAAAGGAAATGACTTAGTGGTCACTGACAGAGGAAGATAAAGTAACATCCTCTTCATGTGGCTGCCATTCCTACTTAGTTAAGGGCCTGGCACACAGTGAGTAAATGCTAGCCGGCGCTTCTTTTCATTATTATAGTACATTTATGAGCATATATTCACAGCGTGCAATTATAGCTAAACATTTCAAACTAGCTAATTTCAAAGGATGAAGAGCTAAAGATCCAAAGCACGAGGCCAAGAACTAAAATTAAATCTGTTTTTAAGTCTATAATGCAATAGGCTTCAATTTAGCTCTTTCATTTTACAGATGGAGACACTCAGACTGAAGATTAAAAACCAAAGTCAAGACTTACCAGCAGAGCTAGGAATTGAATCCTAGCTGTCCACACGTATCCCTGTTACTATACACATGCACAGCCACCCCAGCTCTAGACGTGCTCATTAAACATCTCCTGCCACGTATGGAATGGTGAATATTAACACAGACCCAAGGGACTCACATACACAAATCATATTAAGCACAACACCTGTCTAACAGTACCTCATCTCCTCACCACCCCCTACCCCCCCACTCCCCAGGCATTGGCCAACCTGGCCGAGCTGCTCCTCACACAAGGCCAGTCCCAGCGGCACCCTCAGATCAAACATTGCCCACTCCAAGGGGTCTTACCTGACCTCTCTATCGAGAAAATCCAATCTGGTAAGCTACTTTATCTCGTTATTCCATATTGTTATTCATAATTTTATTTATTGATTTATCTACAAGTTCACTGCCTTAAGAACAAGAGTCAACCAACTATGGCCCACAGGCTAGCCACCTGTTTTTATAAATAAAACAAGAGGCCCGGTGCATGAGATTCGTGCACTCAGGAGTGGGGCAGGTACCTCAGCCTGGCCTGCACCCTCTCACAGTCCGGGAGCCCTTGAGGGATGTCCAACTGCCGCGGAGGTGGGAGAAGCTCCCTCTACCACCGCTGCACTTGCCAGCCGTGAGCCTGGCTTCTGGCTGAGTGACACCCCCCCTGTGAGTGCACACTGACCACCAGGGTGCAGCTCCTGCATTAAGTGCCTGCACCCTGGTGGTCAATGTGTATCACAGCAATCGGTCATTCCACTGTTCGGTTGATTTGCATATTAGCCTTTTATTATCTATATATATAAAAGGCTAATATGCAAAGTGTTTCCTTGAGAGTTCAACCAGGAGACTGGAAGTTCAATCGCTCACTATGACATGAGCTGACCCTTGTGGGGTGGGCGAGCAGCGGCAGTGACGGTAGGGTGCTGAGAGAGCGAGGGAAAGAGGCGGCGGGAGGCTGGGAGGCGGGGGGTGGATGGGAAGAGGGAGACCACATGGTGGTGGTGTGTGGGTGGTGAGGGAAGGAGGAGGGGGAGTGTGCAGGCAACCTGATCAGCCCTGATCACTAGCCAGGCCTAGGGACCCTACCCATACACAAATTTCATGCACTGGGCCTCTAATATAGGATACTAGACAAGCAGAGCAATATAAAGAACAGAGAAATGTTCAGAAACAAGCCATGCACATGTGATGATTTATTACATCAAAAAATGCAGCCTTCAAATCATGGGCAAAAGGACAGTCTATTTAATAAATGATGATAGCTATCAATTTGCTTAAAAAGATTATATCGGGCTCTTCACCTTATAATTCACAAATAAATGCCAAATGGATTAAAGACTTAAACATAAAACGCATCCCAAACTTTATTTAGTTTGGAGGCAGGGAGAAAAGCTCCTAATTTAAAGAAAAGGGATGCCTTCTTAAACAAAATATAAAACAAATGAAGAAAATGTGAAATATTTGACAATACCAAAATTTTAAATTCTATTCATGAAACATACCATAAGCAAAATTAAAATACAAATCATGAGAACAAGAAAACAGGAGAAAATATCTGTAACACATATAACAGACTATCCAGAATGCTAGTATATAAGAAACTCATTTAGGTCCATCAGAAAAAGACAACACAGTAAGAAAATCAGGAAAGAATTCAATGGGTAACTTCAGAGAAAAGTTATATAAATATAAAATGGACAATAAATATAAAATGTACAACCTCCCTAATTATCAAGAAAATATAAATTATATCTATCAGCTTGAAAAAAATCTTTAAAACCGGATAATATCAAATATTATTATAAATGCTATAGAATTGATACAGTTTGACTAGCAACAGGGTAGTATCTGTTAAAATTTAAAATGCAATTCCACCTCTAAATATCTGCCTAAACAAATAATAGAACATGTGTACCCCAAGAGGCACATAAAAGATCTCTCCCCTCTATCTGCAAAAAGGCATCCTTCACATGCCTCAGTTACCTGTACAAGGAAAGAACTGGGAACAAAGTTATGCCCATCAAGTATGTATAGTTAAGTAAACTATGATGGTCCATACATATTGATACTGCCTGGAAATTTAGTATTGTCGTTTTGGTGATTGGGTAAAGGAAGAGAACAAGTTCAAAAGGTTCTCTGAATTCCACTTTTAATCTCTATTGTAACCTGTTATGCCAGGACTATCTTGGCAGAGAGAAGCATGTTTATACAGAAGAATTTCTCCACAGAGCATCCCTTAGAAGCATGTCAATCAACAACTCATGATCAACCAGTGATTCTGAAAAATATTTTTAGAGGCCAATGGTACTGCAATGAACCTGGTATCTTCTCTGACAAATATATTCATGGAAACCAACTTTGAAAACATTGTGCTTACAGTAAAAAAACAAATTATATTCAACCATCAAAAATAAAGTTATGACACTTTGCTTAAACCTATAAGCTCCAATTACAATCTTCATTCAAGCAAAATTGAAAAAAACAGTTGAATTATTAGGTGGGAAAGTCAACAGCTGATGGCTCTCCTGTGGGTTTACCCTGACACATACTACTATTCCAGGGAGTGGTGGTTTGCTGGTATCATGCCATGCTTTCTGCCTATTTCCACTACTTATCACCACCACCACCACCCCATCTATTCACAGAAAATGCTAGAAAGGGACAAGAGAAAAACATCTTACCTCCAGGCATGCTGATAAGCAATACTTACCTTAATAGTTAAAGTGAGTGTATACCATTCTTGTGCTGTAACCTCAGCTTGCCCTACAGCATATATGAGCCATCCAGCTGCAACACAAAAAGGTTATCTAAATCACAGAATCACAAAACTCAGTGGGGGCTCTCAGGTGGCTTTTGTATGTAGTAGAGTTGACCTTAATAAACATCGACCTTTCCAGATCCACAAATGATTTAAAACAAAACATCTTTCATTCGAGCATGCATTCAACAAGCACATATTGAGATCCTACTCTGGACCATATACTACCTGCGAAATCACCAGAGAACCAGAGAAATAAACTCACAAACCAACTATCATATAACACAATAGCTTCTAAACTTCCAGGGCACACTTTTACCTGACTGGACTACATATGAAGGACAGGAGGAGGATTAAAAGACTACCATAAGATTTCTAGCTGGTGTAACTGATTATATGGTAACAGCATTCACTGAGAATCAGGGAGAGAAAATAATGAGTTAACTTGGGCTGTGATCATGTATGAGTGCCTGAGAAAAAACCCAGGATGAGACCGAGGGGGTAGTTTAAAACACGGAGCAGTGGCGACTAAAGACACAGATTTAAATTCTTAATTCCTATTCTACCGCTAATCATTTTGAGACCTGGGGCAAATCAATTAACCTCTCTGGCTCCTGGACTGGAAAACGTGAGGTACCTTCTAGGTCAGTCACGCTATGATTACGCAACTTCTACTCTCATGTCTCTATTACCCACTTCCTGTTTTATTTTCATTTTACTTATGGACCCCTTAGGAAGAGGCAGAGAGCAGCAAACTATAGAATTTTTTATTAATGCAATGCCGGGAGCCGGTCCATCCTTGCTGTTTCAAGGGACCTGGCATATATGGCATACTGTTCTTAATATGTTTGCTCACCTTCTTGGCACTATGTGTTTTAACCAAGGTCTCCTCTCTGAGAAAGGTTGTTTCCCCAGATAGGGATTTTCCCCTGAAGTTAGGGAGGGAATAAAACCCCTCAACTAAGTGCCAGGTGGGTAATTAATCACTTTAACTATGAACAATCATGCTTAAGCTACATAATCTTTACTCCCTGGAATGGAGATAAGAAACGCCCTAACCTTTGTAATAGAGATTGATAGGATTGAATCAACTGGTATAAATACAGATGTAACAAGACAGCAAGACACAGAACTTAGAAGACAGAACTTAGAAGACAGAACCTACACAGAACCTAGAGACAGAAGAACTTCGCTGGAGAGAACATGGCAAAAGATCCTGGACTGAACCTGACTACAGAAATTGGCAAGAGAACCTGACTAGAACCTGGTGACTGAACCTGGCTGGAGAACCTGGACAGAACCTGGATGGAGAACCTAGCGAGGGAACATGGCTACAGAACCTGGCTGGAGAACCTGGAGAACCTAGCGAGGGAACATGGCTACAGAACCTGGCTGGAGAACCTGGAGAACCTGGCTGGAGAACCTAGCAAGAGAACATGGACACAGAACCTGGCTGGAGGTCCTAAGCAGAACCTCTCTGGAGATCCAGACCAGAACTTGGCTGGAGATCCTGGCTGGAGATCCTGGCTAGGCTGCTGATCAACTGAACACTGTCTCCGTGTCCTTCCTTCTTCGCCGACTCCGTCTATGCCTTTGGGAACCCCTGGACCTGCTGGGGTTGGACCCCAGCAATGCAAGAGGAAAAGCAGGAGACTAAGAACCAAGCAGAGCCACCACCACAAGGTCTAGTTTCAACAGAGCAGTGTGTATCCAAAACCAAAGGGAACTGGGTGGGGTTCAACTGGAACCTGGTCTAAGCACCTCTTCTGGATAAAACACTATTCTACACAAAACAAGGGCTGCTGAGATGAATGAGAAAAGTCACACCATTTTCAATGTATTAACTAAATTAGGAAATAGGTTTACTCTATTTTAAGCATATCAGTCCTTCTCCTTGTATTTCCACAAGCACAGTGGCCACCTCTTTGCTTCTATTTACATGTTTCCTGAGCACTCTCTACCCTCACCCCCATTTACACAAATCCCACTCTTACTGCCAGCTCAACTCTGTAATATACGAGAAAGCTTTGCACAAGTTGCCTCTCTCTCATGCTATAGAATAAGACACTTACCCAGATCACCTGTAACTCTGTAGGTGCCATTTGCGAAAATCCAGAAGAAAATCCCTCTGGCACTTCTAATCAAGATGCCACCTTTATTCACTCTTCCGGCAATGAACACACCTCCCTTCCCAGGGGTCTCTATGTAAACATCACACGTGATGGTCATGTTGGACCTGCAGAATGAAACGGCTGGTTAGGCTTTCCTTTATGCCCTGCCGAGCACAGCAGGATGATGTGTCACTGCACAGCCCCGTGTTCCAAACCTCTAATGGAGGTGAGTACGGGATCTGCAACATCCGTGCTTGTAGCAAGAATGAGCTTCGAGAGTCTGCCCTGATGATGGCTTTAAGTTTTACAAGACTAAAGTCAACGCATTTCATTGCCTCTTTTAATGAATTACTGGAAAATAATATTTACTGTTTTTAAGTTTTTTAAGACTATATTTCTTCTCTCTATAACAGCGTCTCATCCATCCTAAGAATAAATAACATTAAAAGAAGCCATTTTCTAGGAATTCGTAAAAGGCAATCTCCCAACAATTCTGAACAAAGGTTTATTACATTTCCATCAGCAAAGATAAGCAGCGAGAGCAATGGCAGGAGCTTCTGGGAAAACATCAGTGACTTGAGGGATAAGTTTTACATTTAACACTAATAAGACCTAGAAACTCCAGACAAAAGATCTAAAATTATTTCTCTGCAAAGACAGAGCCAACTCTATATGGACTATACAGCTGGGGTTTTCAACCTGAGCAGCACTGAGACCAGCAGGAGGGCTTGTTAACCTGAGCAGGTGGAGGGTGAGCCCCTTGAACCTGCTGTCTAACAGATTCCCAGGTGATGCAGATGCTGCTGGTCCAGGGATTCCAGCTTGAGAACCCTTTTCTCCCACAGAGCATCTCTGCTTTTATAGAGGCAGTAAAGCTCTGGCTCTGAGATGACTAATGGACAGTAGATTCAGCCAACCAGGAGCCAGCAAGGCTAGGACTTGACTGTCTTCCAGGCTTCCTGTTATAAATGCTACTAGATACCTTAAGCAGCAACCGAGCCACCTCAAGATAACATGATCTCTGAAAACAATTCACCTCGCACTCAAAATATAACTGCAAACAAGAAAGAAAGCCTGACCATAGCCAAATAATAAAGCAAGCAATCTACCTAAAATAAAAATTAAGAATGCCCCCAAATATTTTGGAAATGGGGTAAACTGGATCTAGAATTATGTGGCTTTTACATTTCTCAGAGTTTTTTATCAGTAAATTTTGCACAGTGGAATTTTACTATGTAAATGAAAATATTAAAAAAAAAGGCACCTACATAAGGGAACTTACATTTAATCCTCTAATCAGAGCTGGGCTACTTTAGGGGAAACTCAAATGCTAAGTAAGTAAAGCCAGTCTCTCAGGTATGTCCTCCATAGTAATCAATATATCCCTACCTCTCTTCTGGTTCCTTAGAGTTCGAATGTGCTACAGATACTGTCCAAATTATTTGATTTAGAGTGAGAAAAGAGTGAACATTTTCCTTTCTTTTACGTCCCATCCCATTCCAGAATAAGAGATTCCTGCATCAGAACTTACAGGCAATTTTACAGATAATGAATGAAGTAGAGTAACAGTGTGGAGTGCTCTTCCATAGCCATAGTCTCTCAGTGGTGCTGGGAGAACAAAACCCAGCCCACATATTAAGCAAATTTGATCAAAGGGATGTAGAGTTTGGATGTGTGCAGCAAAAGGTAACTTTGGGAGGTTCTTTTGTGTGTGTTTCTAAATATTTTTCTAAATTAATTTTTAGAGAGAGGAAAGGAAAGGGAGAGAGTAAAACATGGATTGGCTGTCTCCTGCACACCCCCAATGGGGATCGAGGTCGCAACCAGGCATGTGCCCTGACCAGGAATCCAACATGCAACCTTTCGGTGCTCAGGACGATGCCCAACCAACTGAGCCACTCCAGCCAGGGCAAAGGTAACTGTGATTGTCTTCAGATCCCAAACAAAGCTTACTAACAAATGAAAAATCTTAAGTCACTCAGGGGAAGTCTACCTAAAGTACTGTGCTGGTACTTATCTACGTGTAAACATGACAGAGAGGAAGTTCTACTGCAAACACAGACCTAAAAACCGGCAGCCCTGTGCACACATGGAGAGCTGGTTCACAAAAAGAGAACTACAGAGAAAGCTCACTAATGTTCCCCTTTCTACTCTGAGGAAGAAGACGATGATTAAAATGAGACTGTGAGGTGTGGTCCAAAGAGCATGGGCTACAGAACCAGAGAGATCTGGCCTCTAACCCTGGTTCTGCAATTTGTCAGGGTGGGATCATGGGCAAATCTTGCCCAGAAGCCTCAGTTTCCCAATATATAAGCTGGGAGGATGAGACCTCTGCCATAAGGTGGTTGTGGGGAACTCACACCAGTGTTGAGTATTACCTCTGTAAGGTTCCCAGGAACTCTGGATAGCTGACAGCTTCTCAAGACATAAAAGAGCTTGGGACTAGAATTGTGATTTTAACAGAAAATAAGCAATACAGAAGGGTAAGGTTTTCTGCAGCATTCCACAGATAAACAATTCAACGTTCTTTTCAGAACTATATTCCCCACCCTGTCCAATTTCTAAACTACAGATAGGCTGTTTGGTGGCTTGGTAGGTATTAATAGCTAGTATCATTAAACCTGGAATGGTTTAGTGGAATTATACCAGCTAAAAAGAAAGATAGAAAAAACACACACCAAAAACAGGTATAATAACCAGTACACTGGAATTCCATAACTGACTTAACGGGGAAGAGGAGTTTTGATTTGGTCATTACATTTTAAGTGAAAAACAAATACAACTTGTCTCTTTACCAGATGCCTAAAAAGAAGAGTTGAATTCCCTATCCAACTAAAAGCTAATTTTCACGATTGCCATCTACAGTCACAGGCTAGCACAGTGTAATTCTAGTATAAATCCAGAAGGTGGCACCACCAGATCAAAAAACAAATCCCAAAAAGCCACTCAAATTATAGACTGTAAATAAATGCTAAATTACTATTGGTCCAAAAGTCCTCGATTTTTATATTAAAATCTTCTGTTACTGGAATAATTACTACGAAACTGGGAAAATTTGAGGGAAGGAAACTGACACAGCAAAACAACTTGCTACTTTGTGGTCACCCTAATATTCAATAACTATCACACACCTATTAGGTGCCTGGACAGGAGGACGTGGAAAAGCCTTTGTTTCAGAATGTACCCAACAGCAGGACAAGGTTACTGCAGTCGGATCTACGTCAAGAACGCCAGCATCACGTACCACTTGTAATCCCCGATAATGCTGATGGTGCTGGCCGCATCCGCAGCCCACGTAATGGGTCGCTGATTGAGAACTTGGCGCAGCGTGAAGCGGTGCTCTCCCGGGTCTTCCGTATTCATAAAGTATTCAAACACGCCCGTCTGGTCAGCAAAATTCGGGGCTTCACTAAAAAACGGGTATTCTGTTCAGAATACAATAAATGCTCTGTTTAATATCAAATCCTCACTGAACATTTTTTCTCGGAGATTTTATGGTACATTTTAAAACACTGCTGCAAAGTTCTAAACGAGGAAATGAAACTTACAACCAGTCAGAGTTTAGGGTTTAGGTTACTAATGAGATATTGATTTTACGCTGTCATTATTAATGTCAATATGATCAGTGTGACATACAGACTTTACATATTTAACCTGTGCACCTGCTGAAGGGGAAAGACCATGAATTCTGGAGGAAGGCAGACTTGGGTTCAAGTTCTAGTCTGGCCCTGGGGCAAGGTGCTCCACTTCCCTGTCTCTCAGTTTCCTCATTTCGAAGTGGGAGGAGGACAGAGAATAAATACATGAAAGAATGTATATAAAGTGCAGACATAAGCCAGCCTTGGCCAGGACTCAGCAAAAGACAGTTTTGTTATTTCTAATATCTGTCAGACAAGGTTCTAAGTCACTGCTCACAGTCATCAGCAGAGAGAACATTAGAAAAGGCTCACGATACCAAACACAGGATTTAGAACTCACAAATTTTCTTCTCTTTCTAAAATGGAACAAAAAATCAGTGTTGAGCCTAAGCTATCAATCTCTCCTTAGTTTTATTAAATTATAGTCTCACCATGATGAAGGCGCTAGATGAGCAATTTCAGTCATACTATCTTACAGCAATTTCTCACTTCATGGTTTTCCAAGTGTTTTCACATTCGCCACATCATTTGAGACATTAAAAACCCTATAAAGTAGTTCCTAAGCCTGGCCTCTGGTGTTTAATTTCCGTTTTAGTGTATTTTAGATTGGAAGGGTGAGGACTGCCTTCCATCTGCAGGTCACAGAATAAATGGTCGGGGTGCCGACAGGCCATGTCCCACGCTGACCCCTCCTGACCGAACGCAAGGAGGTTACTGCTGCAGACCGAGGACTGCGCCCAGCGCTAAGATACTGGAGGCCATTTCAGGGACTTGCAAGAAAACAGCACCATGCTCCACTGTGGAGGCAGGGTCACTGTGGCCTGGTTTATCCTAAAGATTGAGAGGACTCAGTCACAGTGCAAAGGGCCTTGTACTCCAGTCAACCAGGGATCGGTTCCTGGGGAAGGAGCTGAGACCCTGGCAGGAACCACTGGGCAGGGGTGTAGGAGTCTGGGAGTCTCACCAGCAGCCCCGCAGCAACAGGAGGCTGGGTCTCTCTCCCAAAGCCAGTCTCCCTCCCTACTTCTCCCCTCCAGCTGTGGATCCCAGGAGCAGAGAACCTGACCCTGCTTGTGAGGTCCATGATGCTATGTACCCACACCTACTATTCACCAAGTTTTGTCGATTGCTGAGGGATCTAGGAATACAACGATTAAATTACCAACGGTTTTCCTACATTTGCAAGATTTCCTAAATTTCCTATCATCAAAAGCTTTTCTAACGGCAGCAGGACAGATCTTCCCAGAAAACCAGGAGGGCACACACATAAAACCCCCAGGCACACTAGAGGTTGGACAATGAGTTGGATTACCCAAGGATAGAGCAACTGCCCACAAGCACTCAGTCCACTAACACTACATGAGGACAGGTGTGAATGTGCCTTAAATTCTACACAAAGGACAATGGCTTTCATGAGACATGGGTAAGGGGCAGTAGCCGTGTAACAAATCTTAGGTTTAACCAAAAACTACTTAGAATTCTTTCATCCTGACAATGACCTCAAGGCTTTTGCTGGCACTGAAAAATATAGGGTCCTCAAGTGGAGATTCATCCTGAAGTAACATAAAAGATAAGAGACTTAGAGCTAAATGAATGCACCTTGCGCAGCCCTCTGTCATACACTGGTTTCCCGGGCAGAATCTCTCCACGATTGATAAAAATGGGAACCAAGTTAAAGTTGTAGTGAAGGAAACTCACCGACGTTGAAGTCATCCGTGTAGATGGGTGGGAAGGGCTGGGACTTGGGAGGCGGCGGGTAGCTGCCTTTGCTGCCGGTGGTGAGAGTGGTGAGTGTGAACAGCTCATCCTCCTGCAGCTCCACTGTGAAGCTGCCGCTGCTGTCAAGGAGCTAAAAAGAAAATGTGGTGTCAAGGACAGGGCTTTGGCTCGTCTCATTTGGGCAAAGTGGCTTTTTAAAACGCAGGCTCAAAGATAAGCCAAACTCATTTCTGTTAGAACTTCCTAACCACTTGTAAAGGACACACCCCAGATCAAGGCCCTCCAAAAAAATGTTAAGTTATTATGAAGAGTTTATAAGATTATTCTTCATAGAAAGCATTTTTTAAAGAATTTCAAGGCCCTCCAAAAAAATGTTAAGTTATTATGAAGAGTTTATAAGATTATTCTTCATAGAAAGCATTTTTTAAAGAATTTCACTACACGGAGGGAAGGAGGACTAGATGATCCCCAAATCTACTTCTATTAGTCTATTATTTTCCATTACACTGTAAGTTCCTTAAAGCTTGTACAGGAGTGGGCAAAAGTAGGCTTATAGTTACTTATATGGAAAATAGTATAAAAATTAATAATAATATAAGAACAAATTTTTGCATACTAACAACTGTAAACCGACTTTTGCCCTCCCTTATACATGTGTGTGTTTTAAATATTACATCATTGTCTATAATAAAAATAGCATATATATATATATATATATACACACACACACACATTATTATAAAACACTTCATATGTGTTTATGTCTACATATATTTATATAAAGGGTGGCACAAGTCAGTTTACAGTTGTGTATATGGAAAATAATATAGTAATTAATAAATAAAATACAAGAATAAATTGTTTCACATATTGCCAACTGTAAGCCTACTTTTGTCCAACCCTGTATATATTCAATACACATAACTAGGAGACCTGTTTATTTACTTTTTAAGACTACTAATTTTTTACTAAGGTAGAAAAATCCATAAACTCTCACTGGTGACTCAGGAAACCTTTTACTATTAAGGAAAAAATAGTTCAACACATTCTATGTTCAAAATATATTTTAATTAGCAAGTTAGGTTTATAAGACATTAATGATCTTAGCAAATTAATCTCTCTAAGTCACAATATCCTCATCTACAAAAGGAGGCAAAACTATACCTACTTCCCAGGGCTTCTGTGAGGACTGAATGAGATAATATTTCTACAGTGCTCCTAGCCCAGTGTGTGGCCTATGAAAACACATCCTCTGTCTTACCTGCTGTGTGCCAAAAGCAGTCTGGTGTACAATTAACGTAGGCATTTGTTGTACGCCTAGTCTATGAAATTTGAGCAGCTTTCTTTCTACTTTGAACTAAAGGAGGTTCTATTCTATCTTTGCTTTAATAATAAATTGTTGGTCAGATCTATGAAATATCTAACACCATATTTTGGCTCAGAAATAACCCCAAATGACATTATTTTTCCTGTGGGGAAAATCAATTTTATTATGCTATTTCTAGCAATTGTTGTACAAATAAAACAGACTGTCCTTTTTTCCGGAATTTAATATTAATGCATGTTCAATCATTGAGAGTGGCTAGTGGGTTCACAGGATACGAATAATTACCAGATTAGTGTCCATTAGGGGAAGTAATGTGCTTGCTTAGGCCAATCCATTCTCTGAACTACTTCCTGAGAAACCACCATGTACTCAGCACTACAGCAGGCCCTGGGATAAAAAGCTAAAGGAGGCAGGGCCTCAGGCCTCAAGGTGGCCAGTGCAGCGGGAAAGTGTTTAACGGGACAAGCACATCTTCCCAGGCGGAGATGAGCTAAGGCTGGTGGGGAAGCCCCCGAGGAGGTGACCTTGAGCTGAGTCTGGAAGGATGACAAAGACATGTGGTGAGAAATTCTAGGAGGAAGAAAAGGCATGTGCAAAGTCACAAAAGTAGTTAGACTGGCGTGCTATGCTCTGGAAAATGCAAGAAGTTTAATTTGTGAGGCCAGTTTCATAGGACATGCATCTTGAGGTCATATGGAGTGTCATGGGCTGCACTAAGAGATATGAACTTACAGAAAAAATCACTGAGGCACTTGGAGTGAGAGAGGAGAAAAATCCGACCTGCATTTTAGACACATCACTCTGGTAGCAGTGTGATGGGGGTCTGGAGAGAATCAGCTTAGCGGCTGGGGAAACAGGAGGTGGTTTCCAAAATCCGGGAGCAAGATAATGAGGAATGGAATCAAGCAGTGGCAGTGGGAAAGGGGAATGAGGCATGGGTAAGAGAGACGTGTAGATGGTAGAATCCCTACCCTCTATCGCTGGTGGTATATAAAGCGTGAGTACATGAAGAGTGGGAAAGACAGTTTCAAATGAGACTCAAATTTCTGACTAGAGCAGGCAAAAAAAATGATGGTGGGATCATTCACTAAGACAAACCAACTGCTTTGAAGAGGATCCCTATTTTATAAAAACAAAAACTGGTTGGGGACAATTTTCTCTCTAGTATGCTTCAGCCATAAAATCAATTATAAAATTAAAAATTCTTAATTCATTAATCAAATTTCTGTTCCCTTAAACCAATGGGTCTCAACCCCTTTGGCAGTCAAACGACCCTTTCACAGGGGTCGCCTAAGACCATCCTGCATATGAGATATTTACATTACGATTCATAACAGTAGCAACATTACAGTTATGAAGTAGCAACGAAAATAATTTTATGGTTGGGTCACAACATGAGGAACTGTATTTAAAGGGCCAGAAGGTTGAGAACCACTGACTATTGCAATGCTAATACATAGGAATTTGTTTTAAAACTACCCATAGAGAATCCAGCTGTTTAAAGAGAAAGCTCTCCGATGACTTCCCAAGCTTGGTGTACCACACTTGCAGCTCCAGTATTTCACTCTGTGGAGAGAACACACAGGAAGCACAGCTGAGTGGCTCGTCATACCCTTCTGAGGATCCCAAAGTCATACCAGCAAGAACGAACCAGTGGCCATATGCACTTTTTCTCTATCCACCAGAAGGCCCACCTCTCAAATTTAAACAGTAACATTTTAAAAATAGAAAAGCATTATTCAAGCAAATATTTTATTTCCTATAAATCTACAGACTTTTGGCAAATGTTTATTTTAGTGCCTTGGCTTCAAAAATACTCATTATTGTACTGGTGTGGAAAGCTTTTTAAGAATATTCTGGTATTGCCAGGCCTGTGTAGCTCAGTGGTTGAACCTTGACCTATATAAATCAGGAGGTCATGGTTTGATTCCCAGTCAGGGCACATGCCCAGGTTGCAGGCTTGGTCTCCAGTAGGGGGCGTGCAGGAGGCAGCTGACCAATGATTCACTCTCTTGAGCTTCTGTCTCCCTTTCCCTCTTCCTCTTCCTTCCTCTCTGAAATCATTTTTTAAAATATTTTTAAAGAATGTTCTAGTATTAAAAAACCATCCTTATGCAATTAGTAGTTAGAAAGAGTGCTGCATTTTCTGCATTCAAATCTAACAATAGGTAGAAAGAGGCAGAGTCTGGTCTCTCTCTCTTTCTTTTATGTACAGAGCACTATATAGATCAATGCTTGAAAGGTCCCCAGACTAAATAACTGATGCTCCTGCTTAAGAATGGCTTTCCTTGCCCTAACCGGTTTGGCTCAGTGGATGGAGCGTCGGCCTGCGGACTCAAGGGTCCCAGGTTCGATTCCATGTCCCAGGGCATGTACCTTGGTTGCGGGCACATCCCCGGTGGGAAGTGTGCAGGAGGCAGCTGATCGGTGTTTCTCTCTCATCAATGTTTCTGACTCTCTATCCCTCTCCCTTCCTCTCTGTAAAAAAATCAATAAAATATATATTTAAAAAAAAAAAAAAAAAAGATGGCTTTCCTGCAGGTCACGTTTGTTAAGTGCTCTTCAAGGCCACAGAGCTCTCCCTCCTAGCAGCTCTGGAGTGATAGACTAAAACCAGTCAGCAGCTTCAAGACACAGCATTTATCCACTCATACGCAAACTTTTTTTTTTTTTTTAACTTTTAGTAAACTTTATGGTAAAGAACAACAACAGTATTTTATAATGATTTTTCTCACTCGTAAGAACATGGGTGGCAACCAGTGACTTTTTTATAAAAATCATTTCTTTAAGACTCTAATAAGACATCTTGTCTTCCAACTGTAATATATGATTTCATTTAAAAACTGCTAGCCTATGATAAAATATATAAATTCTCAAAACCAAAATAAAAGCCCCACATGTTTACTTACAAAAGAACCCTGAAGAACGAAGGTAGCAATTTGGTGTGATACGTTGAAATAAGGAAGCAGTGGCCGTATACACTTAGAATGTTTATGGCTCTGAGGAGAAAACAATCACATAAATTATCCAAATGATGCACAAGCCATTAGGAAAAAATACTAAACATTTAACTCCCCAATATTAAGAGAAACTGTACATATTAGGTGACAACTATGAGTTTATTTTAAAATTTTAAAGACTTTTTTCTAATATAACCTTTATTGAGTGTCCATTGCATGCATATCACTAGTCAAAGTAAAGCTCACTGGCATTTTGACTGAACCATACTTTGAATTCATAGCTAAATTCCAGTCATTTTATAGCACCCACATTAGATTTTTTTATGTTGTAAATATTTTCCAAGTAAAATACAGTAAGAAAACAAACACTTGAGATGTATTGAGATGTTTTTATGTTTTATTCTGAGTGAAATCAGCAAGATAAAAAACAGTATATACTGTATGATTCCACCGAGACAGAAAACTCCAGAAAATGCAAACTATTCTTCAGTGACATAAAGCAATGATGTCACAATGTATGAGGAGTAGCAGGACAGAGGGACTACTTATACAGGGACATGAATCCTCTTAGGTGGGTGATGAATACTCATTCACTACTTTGGTTGTGATTATGGTTTATTGGGCTTATACATGTTAAACCTTATGAAATTATGCACTTTAAGTATATGTTTGAAGGAGATCAGGAATAAACCACCACAAAATATGCCACTTTGGTATAAAGATTACTTTAAGTTGAAGATAGTTGAGACTCAACAGATGAAGGAAAACAGAAGGAAGATTAAAAGTAGCAAGTTCTGGGAAATAAGGCTGCCATAATTCCTCTTCAAGGTGCATCTATCCCAGAATGGAGGAATGGGAATAAAAACCTACCCCAAATCTCTAGGGGAGTTTTATGGCCCTGAAGGAGAGGGAAAGACTGCTCATATCAGTCCAGTCAAACACTATCCCAACTTTCTCATCTCCTGTTTGCTCTCCTGAAAACCCATTATCTTTCCCAAAAGTCATTTATTTCCCTAAATGCTCCCTTTCTCCTTTCTCCATTACTCACTAAGCTAGGTGTATAAATTCAAATCCTAACCACCTGGTTGAGTGATTTCATCACTGAGTTCCTCCCACATGTATGTACACTGCATACACAAATAAATTCTGTTTTCTTTTCTCAGGCTATTCTGTCTTTTGTCGGTTTAATTTGTGGAGCCTCAGCTATTGAACCTGAAAGGGTATAGGGAAAAGTTCCTTCCTCCACTACATACTGCTTATCTATAATAATAAAAGCACAATATGCTAATGAGACCAGACAGCCGAACGACCTTCCAGACGTCATTCTGGACGAAGCTGTGGTGGTGGGGGCCAAGGCAGAGGCAGATAGGGGCGATCAGGCAGGCAGGTGAGCAGTTAGGGGTGATCAGGCAGGCAAGAGGTTAGGGGTGATCAGGCAGGCAGGCGAGTGGTTAGGGGTGATCAGGCAGGCAGGCGAGTGGTTTAGGGCAATGAGGCAGGCATGCAGAGTGGTTAGGGGCGATCAGGAAGGCAGGCAGGCAGGCAAGCAGTTAGGAGCCAGCAGTCCCAGATTGCGAGAGGGATGTCCGACATCCCCCAAGGGGTCCCAGATTGCGAGAGGATACAGGCCAAGCTGAGGGACACAACCACCCCACATGAATTTTGTGAACCAGGCCTCTAGTTGTATATATAATCTTCAAAAGCTGATTTTAAAAAACAAAGTGATTTAATCCCAACCCCCCTGAAAAAAACAACAAAGAATTACCATTGTTTCAATGATGATGGTGAGGTTACCTAAGCCATCAGTCAGAGCTACATAGCTTCCTCCTTTCTCTAAATGGCCAACTGTCTTCAGGTAATACCAACCTGGTCGAGTAAACTGGGTAGTATGAGCTACAGAAAAGCATAGAAAGAGCCAAATAAGATAAAAATGGTAATAACGGGATTGTTTTTTAAAAACCTGTCTACAGGATGGTCTTAGGCGACCCCTGTGAAAGGGTCATTCGACCGCCAAAGGAGTCGCAACCCACAGGTTGAGAACCACTGACTTTAACCCATCCTAGTATAACTACAAAAATAAGGTTTAAAAAGTTAATAATGCATTTCAAAAACAAGCTATTTTTTTATTTTGGAAGAAAATACTTGCCAATTCCATGTTCCAACTTTGGAATAATTAGTCCAGTTAAATAGTACAATTGTGGGAGGATTCTTAGAAAGACTAGTAAAAATAAATGAACCACACTCTGTCAGTTCAAGAATACAATTGTCTTTTTCCAATAGTAAAATAAGATTATCCTCTCCCAACCTTTGTTCATCTCTATTTAACCCAGTGGTTCTCAACCTTCTAGCCCTTTAAATACAGTTCCTCATGTTGTGACCCAACTATAAAATTATTTTCGTTGCTACTTCATAACTGTAATGTTGCTACTGTTATGAATCGTAATGTAAATATCTGATATGCAGGATGGTCTTAGGCGACCCCTGTGAAAGGGTTGTTCGACCGCCAAAGGGGTCGCAACCCACAGGTTGACAACTGCTGACTTTAACCCATCCTAGTATAACTACAAAAATAAGGTTTAAAAAGTTAATAATGCATTTCAAAAACTAAGCTTTATGGTTTCAAACAAGTTTATTTACACAATATATATTTCTTGGGCACCTCCAATGCTGGCCCTGAAAATGTACTGAGCAATACTCTATGACCTGACCCCACATGCAAAAAAATCAAGTTCAACATTTAAGGAGTTAACCAACCAAAACATGTGCCAAACCAGCATAATGATGATTTTTAATTAAAGTTGAGACGGCAGTGCAACACTGACTCTCTCTATCCCCGAGAGCAGAAAATAAATCTTGCAGGTGAAAGGTACCCTCCCTGCACCAGAAGTCAGAGAGACCGGTTCCTTATTGCCAGATTTAGGACACTCAGAACAGAGAAAGCTATGTAAGCAAACTGCTTAGTTTCTTTTCTTTTTTAAAAATATATGTTTTTATTTCAGAGAGGAAGGGAGAGGGAGAGAGATAGAAACGTCAATGGTGAGAGAGAATCATCAATCGGGTGCCTCCTGCACGCCCCCCACCAGACATCAAGCCTGCAACCTGGGCATGTGCCCTTAACAGGAATCAAACCTGGGACCCCTCAGCCCACAGTAACGCTCATCCACTGAGCCAAACTGGCTAGGGCACTGCTTCATTTCTTCAGTAACTAGAACTCAAGCCTATTTTGTTGTCCAGTCAGCTCCTCAAAGGTTGATTGTTCCTTTGTCTAAAAGGTGTATCAAAAACTTACTCTAATCACATCTTAGGTCCCATATCTATGGGACCTCCACATGTACAAACTTAAATTTGCTTGTTTTTTCCTGCTGATAATCTGTCTTCTGTCTATTTAATTGTTAGACAGCCAAAAGAGCCAGGAGAATTAGGGGGGGAGTTTCAGCCTTTCCGTGACAACCTCCTCTAAGACTGTTCTGCTTTGCCCTTAGAGAGGACTTTAGGGAGTTAGAGGTATGGGAACCATACCTGATATCCAGATAGGAGCTTCCACCACGTAGTGCCCACTCCAGGGCTCCTGGGCAGTCATCAGCCCACTGCGCCCATAGGGCAACTGCTCATAGTAACTGGCCACCACATTCCAAGCGATTGTTCTAGAAGATTTGTTTGATAAGAGAGAAACACCAAAACATTTGTGATGAAAATGTAAATGTCTAGAATCCTACATAGTAAAAAGACGTATACATAATTTATATAAATACTAGAGGCCCGGTGCACAAAATGCATGCATGGGTAGGGTCTCTAGGCCTGGCCGGTGACCAGGGCCGATCAGGGCCTTCCAGCTGCTGGCTGGGGCCAATGGGACACTTTGCATATAGCCTTTTATATATATACTAGAGGCCCAATGCACGAAATTCGTGCAAGAGTAGGCCTTCCTTTCCCCAGCTGCCAGCACCGGCTTCCCTGACACCCGGGACCCGGGCTTCCCTTGCAGCACCAGCTTTCGTCCGGAAGGTCGTCTGGAAGGACATCTGGAAGGACATCCAGTCTAATTAGCATATTACACTTTTATTATTATAAATAGATAATAAATACTGAAAAATGGCCACCCGAAGCAAGAAAACATATGTTTACTAACTTCCTTCATATTTGGAAAAATCCAGTGTTGGATGCATCTAAATATTGTTAATGGTGAATCACATAATTAAAAAATTTAGATTAATCCAACGTGTGCAGTTTTACTGAGCCATGGTATAATCAGAACATGGACCATGCCCTACCAGTACCAGAATTAAAGGCTTTATTCATACTTGCTTTCCTCGTGACAGTCAGCCTTCCCAGTGCCCCCGTTTCATGATATAATTTTATGAACTGCAATAAAATTGAGAACTCTGACAGTCTGACTGCCTGGGTTCAAATCATGGCTCCACCGCTTAACTTCTCTGGCCCTCAGTTTCCTGGTCTGTAAAATGAGGATAAGAACTATACCTCGTTCATGCGATTGCTGTGGGAATTGAATATGTGAAGAGGACAGAACAAGGTCAGGCTGTAGCACTACTATGATTCTGCTTCATCTACAAGTACTAATTGGGTCAGCTTGCTGGTCTGCATTGTGGTCCATTCTTTCAGAGAGGGTGCTAACCCCTAAGATTGTGACTCTGTGGTTCTCAGGAAAATCCAAGGACAAAAAGGAAGCTCTGGACCCTGGTACTCCTAGGTTCCTCAGAGCCAAAAAAAAAAAAAAAAAAACACAAACTAGAGAGAGCTTACCAACAGAATTGTATTTTTGTTAGCAAGTCCTCACCCATAGTAAAATGACAGACTGACATTCTTAGAAAGTCAAAGACTTCTAATTCTGGCAACACAAAGTAGAAATAATAGTCCCAATTTTCAAAAAGTGCTTACTACCAGTGAAAATGTTAAGAGCTCTCATGACTTTACCCGTGGATTACAAGATACATGGTATCTCCCCTGGCTAGTGCCAGAAATACAAATTGAACTACCTAGAGAGCACTTTGTAATATACACAAGTGCCTTGACAATCTATACACCTCTGATGCAGATACTGACTCTACTTCCAAGAACACACCCTGAGGAAATAATCACCGATGTCTATATAGACATCTGCATACAAGTGATCATTTCAGTGTGTACTCAACTGTTAACGAAAACAGAAACAACTTCCATTTCTAGGAAGAGGAAAATATTCATGAGGTACGGGATCTTTTCTGCATCAGTGTTTCCCAAAGCTGTGTGCCATCAGAATCACCTGGGTGCTGACTAGACCACCAGAGTCCCAGGAGCCTTCCCTGGAGATTAAGGTTCAGCAGGTCTGGGCAGCTGCCAAGGAATCAGGTGCTTCCTGAGACAAGGCAAGTGTGGGAAATCCCGCTTTATGTAAAAGAACATATATAAACATTTAAAGTGCTAAAGTCAAAGTATACCTAAATATGAGGGAAAGTTCATAATGCCTTGTTAAGTGAAAAGCAGCTTATTTCCTGAACATTATATAGTATATTGTATTAAAATTTTGTATGAAACTTTTACATATATAATGTAAATGGGAAGACACATTCCAAAATTTTTAAGAACAAATACTTCTGGATGGCAAAAATATGAGTGATTTTTGCCTCCTACTTTGTATTTATATGCAGTCAACTCAATTCTCTGCCATGAGCATGCCTGACTCCTAATACCAAGTTAAGTCCTTAGAACCAAACTCTCCATGAGAAGCATCTTTTCTTTTAAAAATAGAAGAAAAAGAACAAAGAGGGCTGTCAGAATTATATGTCAGCTCTCATTAACATCACAAAAGCATGTATTGGCTTGCTTTTGCTCTATTTATTTTTGTTTTAGAAAGTTAATTTGAATCTAATTACAATTGAAGCTTCTCAAAGCATTTAAGAAATGCTTCCCCAAGAAATAAAGAGGAGTGTTCTCTCCTTGGAACCTCTGTTTTGGAAACAGACAGTTACACAAATTAATGAAGCTCTAAGGAATCAATGGGGCACACTGGGAGGTGGATAGTCCACAAGCCTAGTCCTGTCATAAGAAATGAGGAAGAAAGGAAACTATTCTAGATTAAAGGAGATTTTAGGGTCATCTAAGTGCAATGCATGGTGCTTGACTGGCTCTTATGTTTTTTAAAAAAAGCTATACATGACACTTTTTGAGACAATTAGGAAAACCTGGATAGACTGGGTATTAGAAATACTTTTTTAAATGTTCTTATGCTCTTATGTATCAAAATGATATTGTGATCGTATAGGAAAATGTCCTTTTTCTGGAGCCACATGATAAAATGTTTAGGGTAAAGAGCCATGACATTTTTAATTTTACTTTATAATCATTCATTAAAAAAATATATATATCTACACATACATATATATATCTTGTTAAAAATCATAGAAATGCATGAATTTTACTTTACATAAATTATATCTCAATCAGCCTGACTTTATTCAATAAAGACTATATTCAAATACAGAAAAATAAATGGATGTAGCTTAAGTACAGACACAGGTATAGATGAAGCTAATAAGGCAAAATGTTTACAATCATTGAATCTAGGTTGTGAGAACAGAAAGTCCATCGTACATGTTTCTACTTGTGTTTTAGAACATTTTCAAGGTAAAAACCTTTCAAAGTTCTTTATAACTTACGAAGTCATGTAGCCGTTGACATAATTCTGATTCAATATGCGACCCCAGCAGCCGGCACCCATGGCATTGTTCAAAGTGCTAAAATCTTCAGAAGACCAGAGCTTCTTCTTAGTCAACTGTGCATCCTTGACCGTGTGGGTCCCAGGATAATGAGCTCTAGGAAAGGAAGGGTAGGAGGAAATGGGGAAAAATTAAGTGGCACTTATATCCATTTGTTAAGCAAATGAAAATACATCTTCTCCATCATGTTCTATTTTAAAACAACAGCGGCTTCCAGGTAGATGCTGATTGTCGTTGGCATCTGCTTCCCATCCTTGTGTCTCAGGATGTCCTTAAGATGAGATAAACCTATAACCACTCACAAGATGGGAAGGAAGATCAAAAATGAGGTTCCACCAAGATTCTCTTGAGTCTTGATAGATGAATCAGACATTTCTGTTTCTGGAAACCATAACATGTATGGAAGCATGTTGATAGAGGGAGTTAGAAAAGGAGGCCAGAGCTTAGGACACTCCAAGAGATGATTAAGGTAGAGACAGGATTCATACTTCCCACGGGAAGTAGAGTTTGGGACACTGGAAAGGAAGGAGTAAGAAAGAAGCCAAAAACAAAAGACTAATGAGTCTATTATATAAAGTAGTCCTACTTTGTTCCCACCACTAGCAGACAGAGAAAGACAACTTGGCATTTACTCCCAGACACAGACAGAAAAACAATAAAAACCCACACAGAGTTCCTTGAATATTTATAATCCCAGAGCAGTGGTGGTCCTCAACCGGGTGCTTTTGTCTGGCACAGCAGGCAGGGTTTGCTACTGGTATCTGGTGAGTAGAGGCCAGAGATGCTGCTAAACATCCTTCAGGCATAGGATGGGCAGGTCCCCACTGCAAAGAATCATCCAGTGGAAATATCAAACCTGCAGAGGCTGAGCAATCCTGCCCCAGAGTAATGAGCCCTTCCCCTTTGAGAGGAGTCAGTCAGTTGAAGTATAAATGTATATTCATTATTCCAAGAGTAAACTATTGCCATAATGATGATGGTGGAAACTAGTGATTACTGACTAAAAACAACTAAGAAATTTCAAATGTAGAATAGAAATCAGACAGTTAATACAATAATAAGAGAGCACATGAGCTAAATAACTTTAGGGACATGAGTGTATACTTTTTAGGCCAATAATTGATTATAAAAAAATTTAATAACACAAGCAGATAATAAAGATTGGATTATCTCTTTGTAGATTGGTGTAGCAGCATCCATTATATTAAAAGAATGATTGTGAAGTCCTGTTTTAGTTTGCAGTTATTTATTACCATTTAAGTTATGAATCTTTTAAGAGAAAGTCCTATTAGGGAATTCATTAGACCTAGTAAAGATGGATTAGGGCACATTATCAATTTGGCATTCCAGAACTTCATGAGAAATAAGTATTATATACTAGTATATATAATAGAGAACACACACAAAAAAAACAGTTGAACAAAAATGAGGTTCCACCAAGACTTTGTTGAGTCACTGACCTCAGTTGAAAATAGGCATCTATTCAGTATTATAAATATACACTGCAGAGACCACACGAACAAGCTAGCACCTAAGGGGGTTAAGAAATTATCGCCACGTCACCATAATGCCCAACTCAGAAAATCTGGCTACTAATATTTGTAGTGATATTATATCCCAAAACTTTATTCCATGACATGATATTCAACCTCAATGCCTCAGCCAAAAGCCAAATGTATGTTTCTTGTATCTCTGATTAAAATATACTTTATAAAAAAATAAATCCTGGAAAAGAATATGCTATTATCTTTCCAATGATCTTTAGATGTTGGATTCTGAGTAAACTCTAATTCTAGTTTAGAATTCTAGTAAATTCTAATTTATAGTTTTCTCATTTTCTAATTTTTCTATAATGAGCATGCATTATTTTTATAAACTGAAAAAGTATCTCCTTTAAAATTATAGAAATAGGTGGTATATCCCTCATTCAGAAAACAATAGAGCTCTTACATTACACTTAAAACCTGCTCAGATTAAATGATCGGAGCACAGAAGGGCAGAACTAATAGTCTATCTGGGTCTCTTCCAATATCTGGATCCACTGCTAATTCAACAACATGTAAAGGTTCTTTGGGAATATAATTGTTTAAATGTATGTAATCAGACAAAATGTCTCTCATTTCACAGTATGATATGGCCATGGGTTCATCCTTATGGAGGCTGAATAAATGGGAACATGGATATTCACGATACTATTCTGCCTACATTTGTGTACATTAAAAATTCTTCATTAAAAATGCCATTAGATCAAGCAGAGTCTTTACATTAAATAAAGAACAAATTATACACACACACGTGTATTCTATTTTTTAAATATTTATGTACATTGTCATGATATTTAAAATTCACTTTTTTAAAAAAGTAGCTGAAAGTAGAATTGTCGGAAAGTGGTCAAAAGGTACAAAATTCCAGTTATAAGATCAATAAGTACTAGGGATGTAATGTACAATGTAATGACTAGTTAACACTGCTATACAATATATAGGAAAGCTGTGAAGAGAGTAAGATCCTAAAAGTTCTTATAATAAGAATTATTTTTCTTTTCTTTTTATTGTGTCTATATGAGATGATAGAGGTTAACTAAACCTATTGTGGTAAACACCTCATAACAGATGTAAATCAAACCATCATGCTATATAGCTAAAACTTATATAGTGATGTATGACAATTCTCAATCAAACTGAAAAAATAAAATAACAAAAAATAAAACAGGAAGAAAAAATACTGCTGGAACACAGTGAGGCCAGGGCCCAGAAAGAAGACTGAAAGGCAGATTGGACTAAGGAGCAAGGTCAAAGCCATATGGCTAAGGAGACATGACAAAAGTCATGGCCAGTGATCATGCCACACCATGTACCCAGTGTTCATGAGAGAACTCCACCCATAGGAAGTCTGATTTCACGACACTGCCTTTTATAACTTCTAAAATTTAAGTACTATTCTGCCCCAAATCTAAACAAACCCATGTTTTATTACTGCAAACATTAACAATTTTTAAAAATTACCAATTCCTTTTATTGTCATAGAAAAATCCCAAAATTCATACATTTCAAAGAAAAAGGAATGAAATGCCAGTTATACAGGCTTTCATTAAGTAATTAGAAAAAAGCTACTTTCTGAAAAATATAACCAAATGGAAAGGAAAACACAAAAAGAAAGGCACAGTTAATATTCAGAGCAAGCACTGGACCCTTAGTTTTCAAAGTAAGACATCCCTTACCCTATAACATCAATCACTTCCATGAGCTCCGCGTCGAGCAGCATAGAAGCAGAAATGGGCTCCCAGAGGTTGTCACTCGCTATGATTTTCACTCGCTCAAGACCTTGATAATTCAACATTCTTCTTAAAACCTTGTGTGGAGGATAAACAGGACATAGGAAAGGTTACAAAAGAGACTGCAGCTCTTGCATTACTCCAAGGTAGCTAAAGTATCTTCCAAAATCAACATACTGGACCATAGTGTCAGTATTATTTTTCAGTAGAAATGTGGCTCCTATGGAAAATAAAAAAATAAACCTATGAAGTTAAAATGTTTTAGAGGGATTTTCCCTCTACTTCAAAATTATGTTTAGCCATAAAAAATTTGGGTGAGAGGATGGAAATTTTTTTAAAAACCATAATAATACTCCCCAGAAATAACCACTATTGTTTTGGCATGCATTCTTAGGAAATTTCTCAGGCAGACACAAAATCAAATTGGGATCGCATTAAACATACCATTTGGTAAAATGCTTTAAATTGTAATTGTATTTTTAAGCCGAAACCGGTTTGGCTCAGTGGATAGAGCATCGGCCTGCGGACTGAAAGGTCCCAGGTTCGATTCCGGTCAAGGGCATGTACCTGGGTTGCAGGCACATCCCCAGTAGGAGATGTGCAGGAGGCAGCTGATCGATGTTTCTCTCTCATCGATGTTTCTAACTCTCTATCTCTCTCCCTTCCTCTCTGTAAAAAATCAATAAAAATATATTAAAAAAAAAAAAAATTGTAATTGTATTTTTAGTATTTTCCTGTGTCACTAAATATTCTGCCATTACTGAAAATATTACAGCTCTCAAGATTTTGTACCATACTAGAAATAGCCATAAGAAATACTCCCTTGCTGCCCGCAAGTCTTTCACATGTACAGAGAAGACAGGCAATAAAACCTACCTGTAAGACTATCCACCCAGGAAAATCCTATATAATAAAAGCCTAATATGCTAAGTGTCCAGTCGTCCAGTCATCCGTTCAATCAATCAAAGCGTAATATGCTAATGATATGCTAAGGCAGCTCAATCGTTCACTATGACGAGCACTGACCACCAGGGGGCAGATGCTCCTACTGGTAGGTTAGCTGGCTGCTGGGGTCCAGCCGATCCGGACTGAGCAAGACAGGCCGGACACGCCCTTGAACCCTCCCACAGTCCCTCCTCAGCCCTGATCATGCACTGGTGGGGTCCTTCAGCATGGCCTGTGCCCTCTAGCAATCCGGGACCCTTCAGGGGATGTCGGAGAGCCAATTTCAGCACAATCCCGCAGGCCAGGCCAAGGAATCCCACTGGTGCACGAATTCATGCACTGGGCGTCTAGTTAAAAATAACAATCTAAGTGTTAACAGGAAATAAATCAGCAAAGCACTGAGTGCCTACTCTGGTGTTCATAGGGTCCCGAGACTCACATGTCCCCTTCCCCCACCACCCTCAGACCCCAGATGGGATTTTCTAGGCACAACTTAAAAACCACATTACTGAAAACCCAAAGTCAATCTCAAATACAATGTAAATGGCAAAAGTAAAAGAAACATTAGCCCTGCCATTGTTATATAAATGGCTTATTTGTGTTCTATTAATTTCTACTCTTAAAAACAAACCCAGACTATTTCCAGGGGCCATCTTACCACACTATATGGAACATATGCTCACAGCGCATATCAAACCTGAACACTTACATTCATCTGCCATTACTGAGCTCTTTATACAGGCATTTTAATAAACAGGACACCAATTCCAATAACTTCTTGCTACAAAATGGCAATTACAAGCTACAAGTTCTTATATCCTGAGATGTTTTGCTGCAGGTAAACTAAAGATTGAGAGAAATGGAAATGAAGTCTAAATTGTTTACAATAGCAGTTTTTCAAACCAAGGTAAGTTGAATTAGAATGCAATGGAATCAAAACAGACTCATAATAATAAAAAATACATATAAAGTAAAATTTGGGACTTACAGGAAATTATATATGCTTTCATCATGAATACAAATATTAAGATTTTGCTTAAATTTTGTGTCACAACTAGCAAAACAAATAACTGTGCTGTAAAAATAATACAGTTTTTACTACTAATTTCCATAGAACCATAAAGGAATTATTCACTGATAATTTAAAGATTAAAAGATTTTTAATTTGTACAGACCTTGATATAATTGATGTCAAATGACCTCTCATTCCAAATCTGCAAAACAAAAAGTCAAAAAGTCTGAAGTTTTTTAATGTCAGAAAATACACATAATAATTAAATGCCACTTCTCTCATCATCTTTCATATCACCTGAAAAGCCATTTTTTTCTTACTTTATGGAATGGCCTGATATAGAATTTATAGATATTTGTAAGACAATATAATTTTAAAATTAAAATACTATTTTCAAAAATAGTATTGTGGGTAATTTTAAAAAGCAATGTGGGTATTTTTAAAAACAGTGTATACCAGAGATTTCCAAAAAACAGAATATGCACTCAGTCTTTCAACCAATATTGACAAATCGATGTGTGCCAGGACCTATGCTGGCACTGAGACCTAACAGACAGAGGGATTGCTGCAACGATTCCCACGAGTTTCCAACAAGGACAGCAGAAAGCCACGTAGTCACAGGTACACCACACAGGAGTCATTTTCCCAGCACGCACAGAGAATCACAGTCATGTGCTACACACAAAAGCAAACTCCTACTAAGGATGAAAGGAACATACACATAACCCTTAGGTTTCATATCAGGAAGCATGGGAATTTACTGCTGAAAGAGAACCTCATGACTTTCATTTTGCAACTGAGAAAACCATTAGTAGCAGAGATGAGCCCATATCCAGGTGCTTTATCTCTTTTTACTCCAGGGATACAGGGAAGAGTTTCTCATCAAAGAAGCTCCTCACCATAGCATGGGATTATGAGGCGTCTAAAAAAGATGTGAATCACCCATTACTTACCAAAAAGAGCTTCTAAGTGTAACTTTACCATACAGAATACCATTAGACCCAAACCTACATTTAGTCTCAATATAGGGTAAAAATTTAAAATTTAAGAAAGCTTTCATATACAAACTAATTTTCAGTTATAACTTAGAGAAGGATAATAAAAACAAGTGTATTCATGCTTCTGGCTGACAGCCCGTGGCTCATCCTCACGTCCTGTACCATCCCTCCCAGGACACTGCAGTCTGTGTTCCCGTGACTACTCCTCCTACTGAATCCAAGAGCGTATTACTCCTGTTACCCTAGAACAGTGGTCGGCAAACTCATTAGCGAACAGAGCCAAATATCAACAGTACAACGATTGAAATTTCTTTTGAGAGCCAAATTTTTTAAACTTAAACTATATAGGTATGTACATTGTTATTAACTTAATTAGGGTACTCCTAAACTGGCCTTTGCTAAAAACGTCCTCAATCTGAGGGGTCGACCTCAGCGAACGTACCCCCACTTCTTCTAACACCACTTCTTCAAAATAGACTCGCCCAGGCTGAAAACCAACTTCTGCACATGGGCCACGAAGTTTCAATCGCACTGTATGTGCGCGCCCGCACATGGTATTTTGTGGAAGAGCCACACTCAAGGGGCCAAAGAGCCGCATGTGGCTCTCAAGCCGTGGTTTACCGACCACTGCCCTAGAACATAATAGTCAAATGTACCTGCACCATAGTAGGAGCTCAATAATTGTTTGCTGATTACATGAAAACTTTCAAATCAGTTTGACAGGTGGCATATTAATAAACCAAAGTAAGTGTGTGGAGACGCACTGTGTGTGTGTGTGTGTGTGTTGGGGGGGGGGGGGTGATCTGTAGGATACAACGCAGTCTGAGGTATGCCTCCAACCTGACAAGAGAGCAGCTGGAAAGACAAGATATTGTGTTACATTTTTATATCCTTATAATAAAAGTCCAGCAACCAAAACAACCAAAATGACCAGAGACCAGAACGACCACGGCCCCCAGCAAGCGGCTAGGGGTGATCAGGTAAGCAGGTAGAGGCAATTAGGGGTGATCAGGCAGGCAGGCGAGTGGTTAGGGGCGATGAGGCAGGCAGGCGAGTGGTTGGGGCGATCTGGCAAGCAGGCAAGCAGTTAGGAGCCAGCAGTCCCAGATTGCGAGAGGGATGTCCAACTGCTGGTTTAGGCCCGATCCCGCAGATAGGGCCTAAACCAGCAGTCGGACATCCCCCGAGGGGTCCCGGATTGCGAGAGGGTGCAGGCCGGGTTGAGGGACCCCTCCCCATGCACAAATTTTGTGCACCAGGCCTCTAGTTATTAAATAACAGTTCAGAACAAGGGTAGGCATGTTTTGGCCAGCCTGCCAAATCTAGCACACCACTTGTCTTTTCATAGCTTGAGAGCTAAAAATGATTTTTATAGTTTTAAATGGATCAATTTTAAATGGTTATATAATTACATACATAATACCCTTAAGACCTACAAAACCTAAAATATTTATTCTTTGGTCCTTCAAGGAGTTTGCCACCCCCTGGTTTAGAACAACAGAAGACTTATAGAGCAAAATGAGATTAATCATTAAACAGCACAGTAAACATAATATTGTTATAAGAACTAAAGAGCTAGGAAAGGCTTTGAAGAGAGAGAACTTGAGCTGGGGTGGTACCAAAAACAAACATTAAAAAATATATTTCAGCCCCACTGGTGTGGCTGAGTGGTTGAGTGTCAACTTATGAACCAGGAGGACATGGTTTGATTCCTGTTAGGGCACATGCCCGGATTGTGGGCTCAATCCCTAGTAGGTGACATGCAGGAAGCTGACAATCAATGAGACAAAATGGTTAGTTAACAAAGTACCACTTTAAAAAATTACAAATAAATGTAAGCATGTTTTAAATCTATTACTAACCCCAATATAATCAATATCCAAGTCATGATAACGCTTGGCGCCCACAATCCAGGACACGATATAGTAGGCAGTCAGATGACGGTTTACGTAAGGCCAGTCGAAACGTTTCCCCAGCCATCCAGGGAATGACCAAGGCAACCCTGCAGAGAGGGAGAGTGGGTGTAACAATGCCAGCACTATTAAAAACAGAGCAAAGGAAACCAAAAGGAATACTATAATTCCTTACTGATCCCCAGAGTCAGATTCAATAACCCCAAATGTTCTTTTCAAGGGAAAGAAATTAAAAAAAAAACAGCAACAAAAACAAACACCTCTCTCAAAGATACCAACAGAAAGAAATATAATGTACAATTTAACTTAACATCCCTAACACCTGCTATAGGGAATGTTCAATAACCCATTTCTGTTCTCTCAGGTCAAGTCAAACATAAGCCTTTTAGAACTCTTTAACTACTCCTATAAGGTAAGTACAATACAAACTCCTCATTCACTGATAAGGTTACTTAAAATATAAATTACGTAATCAAATTCAGCAAAACTAGTTTGCCCTGATATCAATATAAATGCCAATGACTCAATAGGGAAAACGTAGCTTTGTTAAATGATGTAGATTAAATAATCCACATTGTTCCTATATGCTAATGATTATTTTATGTTAAAAAAATAAGAGTAGAATTTACAATTCTAAATCTTAACTATGTTACTGGTATATTAAAATAAACTCAACAGTTAAGTTCCCTAACTGTTTATATGTTACCAATTTAGTTCACCACTGAAAAGGTCAAAACCAAAATGACAAAATGTTTATTTTTCTAAACTCAGGAGGAATGCCTAAGTGTATTTACATAAGAAATGTGACATTAAAATAGCAGAGCACTTTAAAACAATGAAGTGCCACATACATTCTACAGTGTCTCTGCTAGGACATGTTCAACAGCCAGATTTCCTGCATGTAAATGAGCAGTGACCTTGAAAGCAGCCCAGTGGCAAATAACACTGAAGTCAATGGTGCTTTTGACTGCCCCAAACATTTCTGGAATCTCTTACCAAAGCCCATTTACAAAGCACACACTGACCCCTCCATTTTTTAATTTAGAAAAACTTATATTTGTCCTTTAGATGTTTAAAGTGGTTTTTTAAATCAAGTCTATAAAATAGATCTCATTAATCTCCCTGAACTTAGTCCGAGTGTGAAAGCCTGTTTCAAAAAATCAAGTTCATTTCAGATGATGACAGAATGCCACCTCGGTGTACATTTGAAATATTTCGCAAGTGTGGACACTGCTACGGAGAACAGTGAAATGCATATAGTCCCATGTGGGAATCATCCAATTTGTCCTGCTACTAGAACCTAAGCTTACGGGGCAGGAGTTGGGGGCTGGATTGCTCGGTACCCCCAGTGCCTGGAACAGTGTCCACCACGCCACTGAGATTCAAAACAATGAACCTTTTGTATGCACCACTTCTAGAAATGGGGTCTACGACTACATGTAATACACAATTTTGCAAAGAGCTGGAATATACTACTGCATGTAATACACAATTTTATAACAGCATTGCCCCTTGACAAATTTTGGTGAGAAATTTTGTTGCGGAAAGTAATTTAGCTTAAAAAAATAAATAAAATAAAAAACCAGAATGGAATAGTTCCTGTATCTAGTTTTGCCATTTACTAATTACCTGAGCTTAAATCAGTGGCGTAACCTCTCTAAGCCTCTACTGCTTCTTCTATAAAATGTGGAAAATAATGCCTTACTCCAGAATTATTATAAAGATCAGAGGTAATATATAAGGGCAAAGAAAGGATCGTGCCTGGCACATGCTTTGCTATGGGTAGCACACTGGTAGTATTAATGACATTATTAGTTCTTCAATACTAATAGGGTCTTTACATACATGATTCAGATTTTAAAAGGTAAAGGAAAACAGACTGCAAAAGCATGGCAAACTTCACTCCCTACCCATGAGTGTGATATTAGAGTTCCGCTTCTTAGCCTCCTTCATTAACCACCACTCGTATCCTCGGAAGTAATTCTCATCTAATGCGTAGTGCATGTGGGAGGGCTCAGTGCCATCTGAGTGGGAGAGAGTAAAAGAGAGGCAATTCCGTTAATGGTGCATCGTAGGGCCACTCGCCCCAACACACATACACATTTCACAGAAGTAGTATTCCAGTTCCAATCCTGAGATGGGGCAAGAATAATCTTATATAGCTTGTGGCTGGTTTCATCTTTTTTTCATTATCCTAAGCATCGTAAGCATCTTCAATAATAAAACCACAACTTTCTATTATAAGGAGTTTAAGAGAAGTGTTATTACCTCATATAATTGCAAATTCCTACAACTACATTCTGCTGGGCTTTTGGTGTCTTTGGGGTTTTCAAATTCCAACTTCAAGTTCACATCTCCTGAGCTTCCAGCTTCTCAATCCTGGTTGTGAATCCCAGGTCTCCTAAGGGCCAATTCTCACACTCCATTCCTTTCAACATAAATTAAACACTAATACCACCACATAGATATATCTGGTTAACAAAAATTACTTCCAAATCTCTAACAGGAACTCGAGTGTACAGACAAGTCTAGAGTTCATTCTAATGGAATCTGACCTAAATATATATAATAACTGTATGTATACATATATATACATATACACATATGTATATAATAATTGAGATAATTAAATTCCTTTTTCTTTCCATTTTCTTCTTCCTGAACATTATTGGCCCATAATCTTTAGACTAACTACATGTACTACACAAAGCCATCAAAACAGTCACAATGAAGTTTGCAGATTTGGTGGTTACAAAGAATTTTGTTTTGAAAAGAAAAAAAAAGAGCTATGTATCTGATTACTTATATTTTTACCACCTATTTTATTTAAATCTAATAACACTTTATATTTTATATAATATTAAAAGCTTTTTTTTACTTTTTAATACAATTCCAAACTGACCCTATGCTGTATAATATAGCTCTTAAAAAACTGTGGGTTTACTATAAATTACTTCAACTAAATAAACAAGCTAAAGTCCAAATGCTGTTTTAGATGGGAAAAATGCATATTTTGATACAATTTTTAAAAAATAAGTAGAGGGGGAAATGAGCAATCTATTAAGCAATAATCAACATCAACAAACGTTGCTTTTATTTATATTCTGAAGTCACAGTCCATAAGTTTAAGTATAGATTCAAATGTTGGGCAGGGGATACTCCTACCTGTTGTCTGCCCATCACCACCTATTTCGACTTTTAGAATATGCAAAGAGGCACCGAAGTTTGGCTGGAGAAAGAAGTAATAGTATTAACCTGTGATTCATGGTATGAAGGACAAAACACCACTTCAAGACAATTACTAATTGCTGCCTTTGATTTTACAGATGAGAAAACCAAAACAAAACTTCAAATAAATAGCAACTTATCCCAAAGTAATTTGCCATTTAAAAAAACAACAACACTAGAACTGAGAAGGTGATAAAATCTATGGGTGAATTTCACCATTGTTTCTACAATATCACAGCTACCATTAAATAATTAATTTTCCATTACCTTAAAGAGATAATCCAATATTTGAGAACGATAGGGCTCTGGGTAGTTTATTAGAAGCCGGGAGGTTGCCTAAAAAAAAAGTTTCAAAAGTATGAATAAAACAAATCTAATCATGAACACTTTTTCATGGTGCTTTATGCACTGTTACAGGCAACCTAATTGCATCCAGATTCCATCATTTACAAGCTATGTGACCAAGGGCTAATGATTGTAAAGTGGGTTATCTTATTCATTCAGCTCCTCTTAAACTAAAATAAGATGTAAAGGACTAAGCACAACAGCTGGGATGTAGTAAGCTCTCAATAAATGATAGGCATTATGTACACAAATTGTTTTTAATAATACAGTCACTGTTCTCAGATAGCTTACAGACTGGCAGAGGCTCCAATATTAAGGCGCTCTGTGAGTAAACACTATACATGCTCACTAACCTCGCTCTGACCCAATGTAAACGGTGCTTCCTGTCCTGCATTGTGCCATTTGAATAGTGTGTTTTGCTGTTTGGGGGTTATTTTGTCCCCTCTGCTCTCCTATTTTTAAGACGGAAAGTGCCCACTTGAAACAAACACTACATCATTATATGATTGCAAGGCCATAGCCACACCCAATGCAAAAGGATTAGTCAAAGACAATCAATAGACAGTTCAGGGCCTCTGCCCATTTTTTAATCGGATTGTTTGTTTGTTTGTTTGGTGCACGTTTTAAGAGGGAAGAGGGGAAAGGGATAAAGGGGGCCAAATATATGGTGAAGGACGGTGATTTGACTTTGTGTGGTGGATACAGTATAGGGTACAGATCTTGTATCGTAGAAATGCACGCTTGAACCCTACATGATCCTATTAACCAATGTCACACCAATACATTTAATTTTAAACAAAACACAATAGTCAGTTAAGAGTAGTATAGGCAAATGTGGAAACGCCCCATCAAGCAATATCAAATCACCAAGTTACTAATCACAGTCCCTCAATAAGGCCTGGAGCTGTTTCCAACCAGCACCGGAAGGACCCGTGGCACAGTAGCTGGCACATAGTCAGCTCGCAATAAACAGCAGGCATTGTATACCAAACTGGACCACCTTTCTCACTTACAGTCCTTGGCATGACTTCCTCCTCCCTAATCTATGAAATAGGATATTAACCAAAATTAGTCATGTACCTGACGCCATCCTAGGTACTTTACATATACCCTCACAATGCTCCTATCAATGCAGGTATCACTGTGCCCCCAGAAAAGACACTGAGACGCAGAGAGGTGAAATGACCTTCCCAAGGCTATCCAGTGGGTAGCAGGGCCCAGAGTGGACCCCTGACAATCTGCTCTAAGTCCACACTCTTAACTATCACACTGCCTTCCCTCTCGGAGATGAAGATAAATGAGAACATTCCGAACACTTACTGCCGCAGACTGTGCTAGGCACTCGGGACTCCACAAAGAAGTTTAGAATGGTGTGCAAATATTTGTGTTGCAACCATTTTCATTTAATCAGCTTCTAAGATGAGTAATGTGCTATACACAGAGACACTATCAAAACAAAATAGATACAATCCACCCACTCTGAGTTATGAAACAATTCTCCTTTTAATAATTTTAAAATGAGTTAAACATAGTCAAAGACTTCCATTTTCAGCAAGTTTAAACACTGGATTTAATACCAAAAGTACAAATATCAGGACATATGGGTCCTCATTTTATGAAATACTAGCTATTCTAGGTTTAAACCACAAAATAAGGAAAAGGGTAGTAGTAAAGAACAAATCAATTAGTCCATTAGTCCACAGTTACTTTGAAATATGAGCCAGTACCTATAAGAGACGTTGCAACATAAGGAAATAGCGTAAAAATCAAGAAGAATCGGCTGGGTAGGGAAAAGCAATTTTTTCTGCAGCAGAAGGTCAAACCTGTGATCAGGCTGCAGACAAAGTCATCCACCTTGGTATAGGCCCTGACAATGGGCTGTCATTTTTGTAACACAAGCGCCTGACTTCAGCTTGGCTTGCCAGGCAGCCACTTTTCAATAATTATGTTGTATGGTATGTGTCCTCTTAAAAATACTAACCCAAATCTTTCTGGTAACTTGAAACCTTAGAGTTTTGCTACATGAATGTTAAATGATAGAAATTCATTGAATACATAGATCAACTGCCAAATTTACAGAACCCTGAAGTAAAATGGGATTCATAAAACTGCTAATAAAAGATCAACAAGAAGAGCATGGCCCCAACTGGCTTGGCACAGTGGATAGAGCATCAGCCTGCGGACTGAAGGGTCCCAGGTTCGATTCCAGTCAAGTGCATGTACCTTGGTTGTGGGCACATCCCCAGTAGAGGGTATGCAAGAGACAGCTAATCGATGTTTCTCTCTCATTGATGTTTCTAACTCTCTATCCCTCTCCCTTCCTCTCTGTAAAAAAAAATCAATAAAATATATTAAAAAAAAAAGAAGTGCATGGAACTAAATGAACTAATGAGGATGACTGCAATTTTTCTAACTTTTTATTTGAAACATTGTTGGCCCTTTAATGTTATAGTTTTCCAGATTTAAGGAAACCTTTTTCTCTTAAGCTATCTATGACTTACAGCAATTTGATAGAATATATCTCTGTGAACAAAGATGAAACAATTTTTCTCCCTACTTGATCCCTCCAGAATTCAGAAACTTGGTATTCTTATTTTCTTGGCAATAAAGTTATTTGCATAAATTCAATCAGAATCTGTCCTCCTCATAACAGGACACAATTGGAAACACTGGTTATATTACCAAGGCTTTGACTAGAATGACAAATTTGAGAAAGGTATAACCAGACAGATTTAAGGAATTAAGGTTAAACTTGTAGTGTTGTATCGCAAATCAGAGAGCTGGACAAGACGCCAAATAAGCCATTTAGTTAGGAGTCATCTTTACTGTGCGCAGATTCAGAGCAGATTACCTCTGTCAAATTCTGAACCCCACATACAGGAGGTCTCTTGTATTTATACTCTTTGAGCCTCTTTGTTTGCAGATATTACAAAGGGCTCTATGTGGGTTATTGTTACAGACAGTTGTAACCTTGAATATATGTCCTATCTAATCAAACACTGGAATATCTATACAGACAACTTGTAACTCTGAATACATATTATATCTAATCAAACACCTGTAACCTTGGATGAACAAACACTTGGCAAAATATGTAAATTAATATAATGTATCAGCCCCTTTAGATGGCTAGCTTGCACGGTCAGACAATTAAGTTTATCTTTCCTATTCAAGCAAAAAACAAAGTTATTTTACAGTCTAAAAATAACAGAGTTGACCCACGGAATAAGAGACTGTCTAAGAATAACAGAGTAGCTCAAACAGCAGTTTCAAACAGCAGTTTTTCCAAAGGGGGGTTACTATGCTTCATAATGTTTCAAATTTTTCACTCAGCCTTCTGGCTTGAATCACTGAGAACTAAAACCACCCTTTTCCTGAAGCCATGCAAGCTAAAGTGGGACAACTTGATATAGACGTCAGAGAAATCACCACTACTGCATTTTGTGCCTGTTATATCTTGTGAGCCATTAAGAACCGTCACCAGAGACATTCAAACTGCGAATTAGGAAATCTGTCCGATTGCCACTGCCTGCCCTTCCTCCATGTGAAGACGTTTCGAGCCTGATGTCTAGAAAACATCTCAACCACCCTCAGGACTCAGGCTGGGTTTATAGTAGGTTCCAACCATTAAACATTGTTTTTCTTTTGTTTCCATAGAAATGCCTCTTATTAAATAACCTGATGCAAATACTTACCAGAGGTCCTCAAACTTTTTAAACAGGGGGTCAGTTCACTGTCCCTCAGACATTCCACACATGCGCACTGCGGGCCCGGGACGAGTCGGCTGCTAAGCAGGACAGGCAGCGGCGGCAAAAACACCCGGTGGGCCGGATAAAATGTTTTCGGCCGGCCGTAGTTTGAGGACCCCTGACTTAGACCATGTAGGGCTACCTTTGGGAGCCCACCTGCATCACCACTTCCTGAAATGAGACACAACCCTTAAACTGAACTGACCTATTCTCAGGACTGAGAGACTGGTTTGATGAGATATGGAGCAATCTACCAACTCAGGAAAGGTTCATACCCACTTACACCAGATGGCCCAAGACGTTAAAATATTTCACAATATGACCAAATCCACTGAATAGATTTCTAGGGCCCCTAGATCCTTGACCTGGTTTCATGGCAGGACCCTTTAAGCTTGGAACAATGGCCATGGACTGGATTTTAGACTACTGCCTGTATAATTAGTATAGGAGTGCTACTACATCCTATTTAGACATGCACTTTCTGGGTTACAACATATCCTACCCCTGACTTTCAGCATATCAGCTACCCAGGCAGTTAATGTCCTCATCATTGACGCTGATGCCTCAGCATCAACGATGGATTATCTAGTAAGCCCTGAGACTTGGTTTCTTCTTTTTGGTAATGCAAGCACCTGACTTAAGCTTTGATTACTGAGGCACCCATTTCAAAGATGGCTATCTCCAATAAGCACATTGCCAGCCACACAACTAGATAGAGAGCCCGTTTGGGATGGGACTTTTAAGTTTAAATTCACCAACAGAGTGAGTCTGCAAAACACTAGGACCCCACCTTCCACCCCAATAAAAGCAGCCCCCCATGCCCACATCCCCCCTCTCTCTTCCTCTCCTTCCAACTCTCTGTGTGGTCCCAAGTATTCAATGAGACATGGAGCAATCAACCTGTGCTTTCCAGGACTTGAGTGCATTGCAATCATAAGAACCAGTCCAGCCACAACACTGGTTATCAACAGGCTGAAACCAACATAAAACGCCCACCCAGCAAACAAGCACTCAAGGCAAGTCCTGCATTGCATTTGAGGGTGCAAGTTCCACCTGATTCAACCGGACAAACAACCCATACAAGAATTCAGCCTTAACATTTTCAAATAAAATTGGCTTCAGCTGTGATCGGGGTTACACAAAAGAAAATCCCTCTGACCCAAAGGTCCACCACCATAAACCCTACAGACTCAAAGGTTCCCAAGGATCAAATCAAGACAAGACAAAGGTTACAAAGAACATGGGACAAAATCAAGTAAAAGTGGTCTGTAGGCAAGAACAAAGATGCTACTGAAGCAAATTCCCACACCTGGAGGTCACCTGATAGCGTGACTGGGGGGGGGGGGGTTAAGGAAATTGTCAGCTGTGCCCACACAGTTCTGCACAAAGCTGGAGTGGCCTTCAAGTCTCCCTCACATAAATCTTACGGAATGCCCAGAAAACTCCTGCTCATCCCAACTGTACCAGCCAACAGAGGACGAAGGAGACATCCCATTAAATGTCACTGGCATCCTGAGTAGGATCCCGGAAGAGAAAAAAAGAGGATTAGGTACAACTAAGGAAACATGAAGGGAAATACGGACTTTCATTAATATTGGTTGCAATAAATGTACCATACTAATGTGGGATGCTGCTAACAGGAGCGACTGCTGCACGGTATATGAGAATTCTGTATTGTCTTGGCAACTTTTCTGCCTACCTAAAACTTTTAAAATTAAAAGTTTATTATTTTAAATCCATACCTTACTCCAGAGATCCCTGAATTGAAAGAGAGAAATTGAGAGAGAGAAAGAAAGAAAGATAGATGATAGATAGATATAGATGGATGGATGGATAGATAGATAGATAGATAGATAGATAGATAGATAGATAGATAGATAGATAGATAGATAGATAAATGTCTCTCAATACTTAGCAAGAGAATCAATTGATGTGTTTGTTGAAATGCAGATTCCTAGCCCCACTCCAGAGGACAGTCAGAATGGGGGGTGGGAGTGGCCAGCATCTGCAGTTCAACAAGCACCAGGTGATACTATGCACCCCAAGGATGGCCAGCCACTGTCTCGGCTGCTGACCCAATGTTTCCCCTCTTCACACACAAAAATGAGGTACAGAGGCACTGACCCTTCTAGTGGGCAACTCCCCCCTGCGGGGCTTGACCATCTGTAGGCAACACAGCCCCCCAACAATAAACAATCCTAGACTACTAGTATAGCCTGCCATTCTACTTAACTTTTTAAATTATATTGTATTTTTATTGTTGACATTATTACAGATGCCCCCTATCCCACCCCAGCCCCCGCCTTTGCCCCCATTTAAAAAAATGCCCAGATAGTTTCAGGCCTCTTAACTTACTAAAGAGGCCTGGAGGCACCTGTCCTGCCTCCAACAAAAACCTATTTGGACTTAGAGATAGAGGGATGGTTGCCAGAGGGGAGGGGTGTTGGAGAGCGGGCGGGATGAAAAAGGTGATGGGGTTAACAATACTAACTAGAAATTTAAAAATAGGCATGGAGTGCAAGGTAAGGCACAGGGAATATAGTCAACAACCTATAATAATCTATCTATAATAATAAAAGTGGACTATGCTAATTAGGCCGGATAGCCTGTAATAACTATCCATGGTGCAGGGTGGGCGCTTGGATTACCAGCGGGAACGCTTTGTAACCAATATGAAGGTCTACCCGCTGTGCTCTACGCCTGAAACTAACGCAAAACAGTGCTGAGTGCAAACTGTAATAGAAAAATAAAATAATTCAAAATAAAATAAAAACACCTGCTGGGCACTGGCCCCTCGGAAAGAATCCAGCTGCAGCCGCCCAGGGCTTCGGTCCGACCCACCTCCCAGGACTGGAGGAGGGAAGCCAGAGACTCCCTGGGGCGCCCTCCTCCCCAGACAGAGGCCCGGCTCCCGGACTTTCTGCAGCAGCGACCCCCCCCCCCCCGCCCCCCGCCTCGCCCCCGGCCCGCCCGGCGCCCACGGGAGGGTTCGAGGCCCAGCCCTGGCTCTACCTACACCTGCCACCATTTATTCCGTGGCCCTCGGGACGCCCATCCATCCCACCTAACTGCCTCTACGGGCTCAGCCCAGACGAGCAGGCGCGACCCTGGGGGCGCGGGCACCGCCGAGCCAGGGGCGCCCGCCCGGCAGCGCATCCCAACGCGGGACGGCGCCGCGGGGGCTTGTGGGGCGGGACGGGACGGGGCGGGACCCGGCGCCACCTCGCCGTCCCCCGCCACCTCGCGCACCCTCTCCCACCACGCCAGCCCCTCGCCGGCCGCTTACCCCGCCGCCGCTGATCGCGCCGATGCCATCGAACTCCCGGCCCAGCCCGTCGGAGTCGTCGAGCACGTACGCGCCGCCGAACGCCAGGAGAGCGCACAGCAGCAGGGGCAGGGCGGCCCGGCTCGCCGAACCCGCGGCGGCCGTCATGGCTTTTACTTGGCGTTGCCGGGAAGCCTGGAGTAGGCTCTCAGCCATTGTGTGGGTCACAAGACTCCGGCGCCCGGGGAGGCGGGTCCGGTCGCCGCCATCATGGAAAAGGGCAGGAGGCTCTTGACGCCTCCGCCGCCATCTTGGATGAGGGCAACAGCTGCCGTCCTGTCTCGGGAGAGCTGAGCAGCCTTTTATGCTCCGGCCTGCACGTGTGCTGCCTGCACGTGTGCCCCCCTCGATGCTTCTCCTCCATCCCCTGCTTGAGCACTTTAGCGAAAGGCAGTTTGGCCGAGGCAACTGAGTAGTGAAGGCCCTACCATGCCCTCCCCCAGCATCTCGGGACGCATCTACCGCGTGCCAGCCAATGGCTGCCCCTAAGGTAGCCCCAGCTCCGCAGCCCCAGTTCAGCAGCCACGTAGCTCTCGGAGCCTGTTTCTTCTCAGGAAAGCTGACACAGCAAGAGCAGCCGCACGGGGCATGCATGCAATACAAGTAAGGCAGTGGGCACCCAGGCCGTTTTAGCCGAATGGGTTGCACACTTGGCAAACAGGTGACAAGGTTCTCCAGTCTGGTAACTCTGTGTATTTAGCTTTTAGCTTCATAGAGGACCTTCCACTGCCAGTTGAAATGGTTCCAGACAGATTACCCTCAATTGGAAGGGAAGTTGTGAATTGTCCTGGGATGTCCGCCACATCCAATATTGGTCTGAGATGTCTGATTCCCTTGGCATTGGAGCAAATGGAAGAGTCTCTGAGAGGCTGCAGGAGGAAAGAAAAGCTGTACTTGCTCTGTTTCACTTCGTAAATTACTGTAGGTCTAATCTGGTTTCCCAGGGACAGCCCCAACGTAATTATAATGGTGCCCCTTCACCCTCAAAAATTGTTCTGGTTTGGATGATTAGTTATTTAGTCCCCTTTATACGGATCACTTCTATTTCTTGTTTTCCTAGTGCTAAGGGCCGTTAGAATACGCTTGGCTTAATTTATGTCATCTGGACTCGGGGCCAGCAGAGCCACTCCCTGAGGGCAGGACCAGTCACAAGATTGGAGGCCACCCAGTTTGACCCTCCCGCCCAGTATTAAGGGGATGGATATCATGATGTCAAAGGCCCACCCAGATGTGATGTAACTTCCTGCAACTCAAGTATATAATAAAGCAGCTTTGGGAGCTGGCTGGCTCTCTCTCTCTGCATGCTCTGTCCCTCCAGAGGGCAGACACAACACCCCAGCCCAAGTTTTTAATCTATTTTATGTCTGTCTTTCATTATTTCTTCAATCCCGAAAGCGCCTCCTAGATTGCATGAACCAGTTCAAATCTCTTCTCCGTTCGGGACGCGGGAAGAATATAGCCCCAGGAAACCACTCAGCATACCTAGTACCGCACATATCTGAACTCTACTTTCCCTCCTGCCACCATTCTATGATACACGTCAGTAATTATCCAACTCCCATAGATTTACCTTTCCAGAACTCCCTCTCATCCATCTGTTCTAACAGTGTATTAAGCTTGAGCTGGAGCAGCAGTAAATGAAAAGCCAAGGATGACAGATCAAGTGAATGCTAAGTGTCCTACCAACCCTGTGATGTTATATCTATGATCTGCATTTAACATATAATAATGTCACTAGAAGGGAAGTACCAAGGTGGTAATAGAGGAAAATACCATGTACACGAAATCAGGAAGTTGAAACTATCCAGCATTAGTCATCCTGTAGCGCATCATTGTACCTTGCATTTGGGAGGCACGCCACAAATATTTGTGCAATGTGTGCAATCTGCAGAAGAGGAAACACAAAATATTTAACAGAAAAAGTATCTTTGCCTCCAGGACAAGCCACTGGTTCCTATTAGTTCATATACCAGAGTAATTCTTTACTAGAGAAAGTATCTCTTGTTTCAAATTTATTTTCTATGCTCTATTAGACAAGGAAGTTTCTAATGAAAACGTGAGAATACAAGCTGAGAAAGGGAAATCCTTGGACCACGGGACACAGCACTCAAATTTGCTCAAGACGTGAGAAAACGGAAATGGCAGTTAGACATGTGGGTCTTTTCTCATCATTTGGTAGCTGGCTTCCCTCAGACCAAGCAGTGGGGGGGGGGGGGGGGGGGGGGGGGGGGGGGGGGGGGGGGGGAGGAAGTCACAAATTTTTCTGACTAAACCATTGCTTCTGCTTTATTCTATTAACTAGGGTGACACACTAAGTCTAGCCACATCAAGGTGACAGAAATTAGGCTTCACCTTTTGAAAGGAAGGGTTTCAAAGAATTTGTGAATATATTTTAAAATCACACACGTACACCTGAACAGCCATAGGCAATTTTCCCCAATCTGGCAATGGATTCTGTATACCTAACCCTACCCTTTGAAGTGCATATCTACCTTACCTTAGGACAAATTGTGTTAATAAATAGCAAGGGGTCCTGAGACAAGGAGAACTTATTCCTTTAGCTAAGTTTCCTCTGGCCCCCAAAATGCCTTCCAAAATTATGTTTCGTCTCTGGACTCATGGTTAATCTATACACAGCACCTTCTCCAGATTCCTGAACCCTTCTAGATGCTAGATTAAGACCACCGGCATTATATATATTGATTTTAGGAAGGAAGAGGGAGAGAGAGAAACATCAATGATGAGAAAGAATTATTGATTGGCTGCCTCCTGCACACCCCCTTCTGGGGATTGAGCCTGCAACCTGGGCATTTGCCCTGACTGGGAATCGAACCATGACCCCCTGGCTCATAGGTCAGTGCTCATCCATTGAGCCACTCCAGCTGAGAAATACCTCTCAGTAAGAGGCCCCAGGCCTGGCACTAGAGCAGCCTGCCTTGCTTCACAGCTTGCCCTCTCCTTGGCACCTCCAAGCCCAACACAAGTAGCAGCTATCTGCCCATCATTCTGTAGCTCATGCTGGGTGGCCCCAAGCACAACATGGGCAGTAGTTGACTTTTCACCTTCCAGGAAGTCCCAGTGGTCCCAGAGCCAGTGCACAAATGAAAAACAGAAGAAATCTCCAGAAAAAGAACAAAATGAAATGGAAGCAAGAAAACAACCAGACACAGAGTTCAAAACAATGGTTATACAGATGCTCAGGAACTTAATAAGAACTTCAAGGAAATTAGTGAAAACATCAATGACATAAAAAAAAAGACCAGTCAAAAATGAAGGATACACTAACTAAAATGAAAAATAATTTACAGGGAATCAACAGTAGAGTCGAAGATACTGAGAATAAAAGCAGTTATTTGGCATTTGAGGAAGCAGAAAACACCCAGTCAGAATAGCAAAAAGAAAAAAGAATCCAAAATTATGAAGATAGTGTAAGGAGTCTTTGGGACTACTTTAAGCACACCAATATTTGCGTCATGGGAGTACAAGAAGAAGAGAGGGAGAAAAAAATTGAAAACCATTTGAAAAAAATGACATAAAACTTCCCCTACCTGGTGAAAGAAATAGACATACAAGTCCAGGAAGCACAGAAAGTTCCAAACAAGAGGAACCCAAAGAGGACCACACCAAGACACATCATAATTAAAATGCCAAAGGTTAAAGACAAAGAGTGAATCTTAAAAGCAGCAAGAGAAAAGCAGTTTCCTACAAGGGAGTTCCCATAGGACTGTCAGCTGATTTCTCAACAGAAACTTTGTAGGCCAGAAGGGAGTGGCAAGAAATATTCAAAGTGATGAAAAGTGAGTACCTACAACCAAGATTACTCTACCCAGCAAAGCTACCATTTAGAATTGAAGGTCAGATAAAGAACTGCACAGACAAGAAAAAGCTAAAGGAGTTCATCACCACCCAATCAGCATTACATGAAATGTTAACGGGTCTTCTTGAAGAAGGAGAAGTAGAAGGATGAAGAGGAGGAGGAGGAGGAGGAGGAGGGGGGGGGAGGAGGAGGGGAGGGAGAGGGAAAGGGAGAGGAAAAGAAGAAATCAAGAATATGAACAATAAAATGGTAATAAATACATATCTATCAACAATTGTAACTAAAAATCAAAATAAACAAACAAGAAATCTAATGAGCAAAATAAACTGATGAATAAAATAGAACCAGAGGCATGGAAACATGGAACAGACTGAAGAATCTCCGAGGGAAGGGGGGTGGGAGGTATGGGAAGAGATTTACCACAGGACTTATATGCACATATGAATAACCCATGGACACAGACAATAGGGTGATGAAAGCCTGGGGCAGGGCAGAAACCGGGTGGAGGCAGGCAATGGGGAGAAATAAGGGGGGGAGGGGCATCTGTAATACTTTCAACAATAAAGATTTTTTTAAAACCCTAGGAATATTTTCCCACACTCCACCGCCCACTTTTCACCCAAGAATTCCTCCTAAGAAGCAATAAATGCTGCTTTAACTAGTGACTTTGTACCAAACAGACAATGCAGCCTCACAAAGGACCCTTCATCAGCAGATTAGACTCTTGCACTGTCAGCCCCATGGAGAAGTTGGAACTGGCAGAACCACATTCTCTTCCCCTTTTCCACATGGCGGGCACAAGTGCCCTGCCACTGCCCAGTGTTGGGTGTCCATTTTGTGACCTCAGAAGACAGAGAACTGGCACACCAAAAATGCATATCCCCTAAAAGCAGTATTTGAAATGATTGCTAATTGGCTTTTTCTCACTTTAGTGTTTGAAATGTCACAGAGACTCAAGAGCTCTCAAATGACCAACTCTCCATTAATAGCCCTGTGGTTGAAAATGCAGTATTGTCAAATATTCTGGACTAAATGAAAAGCAAAATTTTTAAAAGTTATTAAACGTCTTACTGTGTAGAATTGGCAATAGTTCAGCATAAGTCGGCCACAGTTTTTCTCCTGTTTAATCAAAGGTGAAAGTTTGTGTTTCTTGTGTTTTTCAGCTACATCCCTTTTTTTGAAGAGCAAAATACATAAATGTTTGGTGTGAAAAATACCTTTTTCCTGAAAGCAGAAGTATAGTCTATTTAGGTAAAATAGGAGATACTGAGAGTCATGAAATACTCACGTGTAATGCAATAGATAAGCCGATGTGCAAAACCAAGCAAAAATGAGAACTTGCATAAATTGAAAAAATTACTTTCATTTTTTTAAAGGCTTAAGTGTTTTATTATTAATTTCCACGTTGTACTTTAATTTTTCATTGTTTTGGTAAAAATACAAAGTATTCTGAATTTTTACATTACTGTATGCTCAATTACTTTGAAAATCCTCATGCATTTTATAAATTAAGTTATTACTTTTATTATTCTCAGTGAAAGACCTACAAAGGAAGTATAGAAAACCTTTACATTCTTGTATTATCCTGAGTAACCTCAACATTAAAGTCAAGGTTATGTCATAAAACATCTTTTCTATCTC